ATAATATAGTTAAGTTTGTACTTATAGTTTTAATTAACATTTGCACCAAAACAAAAAGTTTGTACTTGTAGTAAGTTAGAAGGTATAATATGATTTAAATTATGTGAAATCTTATCGAAAATGTCTTTTGCTGCTTTGTGCTGTCACTATCTCATGTTCCTCTGCAGACTGGGAATGCTAATGGTTATACTACCATGTGTTTGTAAATTTGGTATCAGAGTCATGGCAATTTAAGCTTTGTTTTTTTGTCTTCTTACGAAGTTATATTACACCATAAGTTGTTTCTAACAATCAGTTAGTATGGGAGTATGCTTTGTTGTTGCCACTCAATGGATCTTCCGCATCAAAAAAGTATTAAGCTAAGAGAGAAGAATCAAGAGAATGATTCATAAAGTTATAATGCTCGAGTATCTTGAGGCTTCAAAAATTCATAAAAGTCATAAATCTCGAGTATCTTGAAGCTTCAAGAGAGAAGAAGATATGGTCTTCGTTATTTACAGAAAACACCTATGAATTTCTTCCATTTTATTTTTAAATTCTAGGAGAAATAATTCATGATTTATTATTACTTTGAGGGATAGATAAAAATCATAAACATTCTGTTTTGGTTTCTGATTTCATTTCACACTATGAAAAGTACTTTTATTTTGTCAATTCCACAATTTTTATAGAAAAACAATCTCCAGTAAAAGAGATTATTCATATGAAGTAGAAACTTGAAATTTCATTTTGTTTTGGTGATTGGGTTTAAGCATGTGGCTGATACGGGAAGCCATTTACAGAAAAACCTCCATCGACGCAGATGGTTTGACCCGTTATATAAGAAGCTGCAGGCATACAAAGAAATGCCACAAGCGATGCTACCTCCTCCGGCTTCCCCAAGCGCCCCAACGGATTTGTTGATTCCACTGCTTTCATGAATTCATCATCAAACGCCTATATATAATCATCATATGGGAAATTAAAGAAGTCAACATATCATTTTAAAAGGTGCAATATCAAAGTCAAAATAAAGAAGGATATTTAATGAATAATTGGGTCTCACAGCTTCAATGAGAGGAGTGGCAATGGCTGTAGGAGCTACAGCATTAGCCCTTATGCCGTCGCTAGCCCATTCGCATGCCAAATTCCTTGCTAGCTGATTCATTGCCCCTATATATGTATACACATACTAACATGTGTTATAAGACCTTGCCTCAATGTTGAAATATATATTTAGTTTAACTGAAAATTCACAATGTTAAGCATTTTTGTTTCTTCAGCAGTGAATTTTGCATTTTTCATAAAATGAAATGACAGATGCACTTTTGAAGAATATTTTACGAAGAAACTAAAAATATTTTTGATAATTACAAAACTTTAATTTGTTTTCTAATGTGAACATATGAACGAAAAGATTATGTTTCAAACAATCTAGGTCTAAATCAGATATTATGTTCCTCGTGGAGCAAATCTCATAGATTGGCATAGTATTGTCCATATATTGTTGCCCGCCTATAAATATCATTTAAAAGATTCACCCAATGAGAAGTACAGATAATCCAACAACAGGATAAAATTACATCATATCGAATGGATTTTTGATTAAATAGACAAAGCATCGTATATATATAGATGATGCATATGGGTAAAAAACATATATGTATATTATATATATATACATTTTAATTTTGGTCGAATATATATGCAGAGTCGTCTCTTCTATAAGCCACACCAAGCAAAGTCTTTAAGCCACATTATGTACAAAATTGTAGGCCACATTTCCAACAAAATTAACTATAGTCGAGTTGTCAACAATAACATCATGTTGACTTATTGTTTGAGTTGGAATGTTGTTTTTCTCCAACATTGTTGTTTTTGGACTTTTGAATGTTTCCATTCGTATTTTAATTTGACATATTTATTTTTCTTTTGTTTTGAATGAAAAAATTATTTTTTTCTCTTGTTTTCTATTTATATATTTTTGTTGCTAAGATTTTATTTCTGTTTTTGCTATAGGTAAGATTAGAAAATAATAACATATAGTTCTAAAAAAATTAGCAAAATCGAAATTGTTAATTTTAAAAGACTTAAATATAATAGTTAAAAGTCATTTAGATACTCATCTGAGTTTTATATATAAAGCTAAGCTGATACATTAACTTACGTGTTCAAAAAGGAAATGATTTTCATATGTATATATAAATATATTTTACAGTTGACACATAGGCCACAGGTTATAAATATGCTTTAGACCACAAAAAATTCGGGACAACACTGTATATAGTTGAAACTCTATACATTAATAGTTGATAAATTAATAGTCGATAAATTAAAATTTTTTATAAATTAATAAATTTCATTGGTCATAATTTTGGTTGGTTTAAAAGTTGACACAAATCGATAAAATAATAAGATAATAGATTTTTAGAAAATTCTATATAAATATATGGTCCGACTAAATTATAAATTGATAATTTATATATATATATATATATATATATATATATATTATGTAAGTAAGTTTGTTTTATAATCACAATGAAATTATTTTTATATTTTCTTAACAGTTAATATATTTTTGATGAGATTTAGTAATATTATATATTATATCTAAAACTACATTTAAATTCTATGCAGTATATATTATATAGTATATTAAAATTAATATAAGTATCAAATTAAAAAAATAATTAAGGTCTATATACACAAAAATAAAATATTTTTCTTATTTGAGATAAATAATAAATTTAAATAAGGAAACTTTTGTAAACTATTATATGTAAAAATTAATAAAATTTCAAAATTCCAATATTATTAATTTGTAGAGGTTCTATTGTATATGTTATAAATATCGAGTGGTTTGTAATAATTCGACTTTTACCAATTATTTCTCAAAATTGTATAATTACAAGAGCATACTTACAGCTAATGTTATTTTTAAGTATAGTGGTTTCTTTTGATCATTGGTTTTGGTTTCTTCTTACCTTTTGTGGCACAGTAGACGGAGCTGATGCCAAACGACACAACCCCAGCAACAGAGGATATGAACACGATACTACCACACCCTGAAGACTTGAGCAGAGGATGTGCTAGCTGGCTAAAATGGTACGCAGATTCCAAGTTGGTGGAAATGTGGAACGAGAAATCCTCTGCCGTATTTTCAACCGTTGGCTTTGACCGGATTGCGCCAACATTGTTGATCTAATAATATCATGAATACACAACCGGAGACTTTATTATTATTGATCTGTCTTTGTTTGCACAACAAAAAGAAAAACAATCAAATGATATTTAGGATGGAGATAAAATTACGAGGATACTGAGCTTGGCATCAAACAAAGTAGACACAGTTTGCATCAGCTTCTCTCTTTCGGTCCAGGACGATGCGTCACATACTGAACCAGTGACTTGAAACCCTTTATTTTTCCAGTCACTCAAACACTCCTTGAGATGTGCTTCATCTCGAGCACACGTATGTATTATTGCTCCAAATCCTGCAAGCTCCTCTACTATAGCATGCCTAGAAGTTTCAAGAATCAACAGTATACATTAAGAACTAGTCACTAGTGATGTATGGAAAGACTAGAAGAGGGTTTACGAACCCAATTCCTTTGGTTCCACCGGTGACAAGTGCGGTTTTGCCTTGAAGGCTCCATCTTTGTCTTTGCTCTTCTCCAGCCATTCCCCTCAGATTGAAGTGGAAGATCTTTTGAGAATACAAGTAATTATATAGGCCATGTGCATCAAAAAAATTAGATATCTCATATTTGGAGGTTCCAAGTCCGTGTCTGCGAGGTCTCATCTCAACCGGAGGCCCCAATATTTAATGTCTTGGACGTGGGAACGACCCTGAGCCAGAAGGTAACTAGGACCCGCTTGCACTTGTCAGTGACTTTAAGAAGGTAAAGTAATCAATCAAAATGTCTAGCAAATTATTGGAGGGGTTAAACGAACTTGAATGCAAACAAAACTTGACCAAAATACATGAAAAATAACCTGTAAAATCTCTTTAAAAGGTGGGATCTATTTAGAAAAAATGAACTATTAAAACCATGAACTTTCAAATTAAACAAAAAAATTTCCAATTCATATTTGAACCCAAAAAAAATCTCTAATTTTTAAATATTGACCGTTTTAACTCTCATATTTTGTTGATTTGGCCATTTAAGAAACTCGAATTGTCAACTATTAAACTCGATTACAAATACATACATCTATTAATTCTTTAAACAATGTTTAAAAAAAAACTGATTATACATTAATCAAACAAGTCATTTTTTTCTTTTGTAAACACTTAAAACATCTTATTTGCGAAATCAGAACTCCAAATCGACTTCATCTTTCTCATTTTGAGTTAGAAAGATGAAATCGGTTTTAAACTCTAGTTTTTCCAAAGAGATGCTTTAAATGTTTAAAGAAACAAAACAACATTGTTTGACTGAATTTTTAAAACGATATCGGTTAAGTTAACATACATCTATTTTTATAATTGCATTTAAGAGTTGACTATTCAGATTTCTTAAATGGTCCAGTCAACAAAATATTAGAGTTGAAGTGACTAATATTTGTAAGTTAAAGATTTTCTTTTGATTTAAACACGAACTGGAAAATTTATGGCTTTAATTTAAAAATTCAGGGTTTTAATGACTATTTTCTGGACATATTTATAATAAGTTAGCTGATCCAAAAAAAAAAATTGGTCACACAAGAGGGAACTTGAGAGTTAAGAAAAGTCTCGTCTAGTGGAATAGGATGGACGGCTTGCATAGATGTCTTGCATATATATATATATATATATTGGTCATTCTAACTTTCAAATATTGGTCATATTATATATATATATATATACATTCTCTGATTTGGTAAAGATTTTGAGCCCCCATTTATGGCATAACTCAAAAAAGGAGTTGGGAAGATGACCAATTAATCAACCATAGTACAATCGATTCCTTTTGCAGTAACCGTCCAAGTTCTTTTTCAAGCTAAGCATTAATCCAATCCAACATACATTAACAGCAATAACATTCAAAGAAAAGTACCAATTTGGTAAAATGGATGTTCACCTCGATAGACAAGTTTTGGTAAACAAATACGAAAAAAATGGGCAGTCTCATAAAGAGGGTATTAAAACATTTATTTAAAGGAATAAATAAAACCAAATTACAGTTCAAGGTTGGGTGAACCAACCAAAGCATGTCCAAATCCAAACATTACATTAAACAGCAAAATACATTTAAAAGAGAGCTAAAGTAAAATTCAGCGGTGAGAATAGGGTAAAGACCCTGAGTAAGCATACCGGGATGTTATTGATGAAGGCGGAAACTCAGATTCAGCAATGCTTGGGGGGTATCTCCGAGATGATGATGATCGGTAGTACTCAGCCAATGAGTCCGGTGTAACATATCGGGAATACAAGTCATCGTGTTCTCTTCCTGAAGAAGGCAGGTATGTCCTATGTAGTAATCTTTCGGGACTACGGTACTCGTGTCTGAGATACGGGTCTCTCCTGTAAGAGTCGACCACTGGTGGCTCTGGTGCCAGGCGCCTAGAGCTTAGGGGGTGATCATAAGGGTGGTAGGTTCTCTCAGGCAAACGAACTTCCCTACGTTCAAGCCTCTCAATATCTGCTTGTCTCAAAAGCAGCTCATGGTCCACAGATGGACGGTACGAGTCAAGACGGTAGGAAGACTCAGGTGGCGGAACTGGATAGTGCTGAGGTGGTTCCGGTCTTCTCAAGCCGTATGTTCGGTACTCGCTTTCGCTGAGAAATAGATCACGCGGTGGTTCTTCTCTGCGGAGTGGTTCTTCCCTGCGTGGAGGAGGTGCAGCATTGCGACTCCTTCCATGAGTTCTGCTGCTGCCAGGAGCGTAGCGGTCATTGTTGTCAGATCTTTTCCTTTCAGTAGGACGAGGAGCAGGGGCTGGCAGAGTGTATGTTAATTGCGCAGGGAGAGCAGCTGGCCGGAAAAGCTTTGTAAGCTTGAATACCTTCAAGAACAGAGGGATTATTATGAATATCTGCTGATATGAACTTGGGGAAAATTTGTAGTTTTACCTGTTTACGAGTAAGTTCTGTTTTGAACTTGTTTCTGTTGTTGTAGTTCTCCTTGATTGCTTTCTTGAATTCGCTCTCAGGCAACGGTATACAATCACTAACCACCTTGAAGCGCACCTGAGAATAAATAAAGAATATCATAAAACTGATCTAAAATAAAATATAAATTTCAGACAAAAACTCATATCATCCGCAAAGACTAGTTTGTAGCTAGCAAACAAGTGTGAAACACAATGTTTACCTGAGCGGGAAAGGATCCACCAAAAGCATTGCGCTCAAGTTTCATCCCACCCGCAGAGGAAGCTTGAAAAACTCCATAGAGGAGTTTGAGATCATAGTCATAGAGAAAAAGCTTAACCCCGGGCTTGATACCCATAACATAATCCTTCCTCTTCTCTTGTACACCCATCACACTGAACCGAAAACAATCAGGCCTAGTTTTGGCATTGCACATGAAGATCAAACCAGCATGCTTTACATTCCCAGCTCCCTCCACTTCCTTTTTCTCAACGTCACCAGGCTGCTTTTTCTCCCCTTCTTCTACACTTTTCCCTGCTGCATCAGTAGCAGCAGCAGCCACGACCACCTCTTTCATCTGTTTCTTGTTCGAGTCTTGAACCTGTTTTCCACCTCTCCTCCTCTTGCGTCTCCTTCCCCCACCCACGCCAGTTTGTTCCTCATTCTTTTGTTGGACTCCTTCGCCATTGGTTTCCTCGTTTACAGCTAACGAATTGTTATTATTCTCTTGCCCATTCTGAGGAGTTCCTTTATCAGGCTCCTCCAATGTTGTTGTTTTAACCTGAGCTCCTTGAACTTTCTTCCCCTTTAGTAATCTCTTCCCAACGCTCTTCAGAGTGCTAGCATCTCCCTTCAACTCTCTTACTGTCTCTTCATCATCAGCAAGTTCTTCAGTACATTCCATATCATCATCTTCATCTCCAAGAAAAGTTTCGGAATCTGCAACCTTCTTTGTTCCCTCACCAAGAGAAGGATCTGCAGTGGCATTCTCCTCACAAGCCACCACCACTGCAGCAGCAGCAGAAGTGGATCCTTTCAAAACTTTCTTTTTCACTATCTTCTTAACAACTTTCTTCTTCCCCGTTAAACCCTTCGGATTATCAACAACTCCGGAAGGAGGAATTTCTCCCTCACCATCCTCTGTTTTCTTCTCCTCAACAGAAGAAGGCACTTTCAAGACTACCTCCTCTGGTTTCTCATCCATGGAAGTATCTACAACTTTCTCAACATCAGTCTCAGCTTCAGATTCAACCACAGAGGCCTCAAGGTCTTTCGCAACTGAGGCCTCAACGGTTGTCTCATTCTCAGCGTTTTGAACCTCCATTATCTATAAATAAGAGGAGATTTCAACCGCTGCAAATAAGGCTCAGGTTAAAAGCTACTACTCAGCGAGCAATTAAAAAAAAAAAGAATAAAGAGATGAAGCCTCAACGGTTAAGATCTAACTAACCGGAAGCTTCAAGATCATCGTACAGTTGACCAGACAATATGGATAAGGAAAACAGATTAAACAATCAATTCAATTCTTCATATAGTATCGATTTTGAAACAAAATAAAAGAAGAATCCAAACGAGAAGTAACGATCATGAGGAAAAAAAAAACAAATTCATATATCTCACAAGCTTCAGATCTGATCAGTAATATCAAATAGTCATCCAATTATATACAAAGATTTGAGAAGAATACCTGAGAGGCGATTTGAGAGCGAAACTCTCAAGACTTTGTTATTACTGATATGAGAATCGGGTGCTAGGTTTTTTGTTTTTGTTTTTCCGGCTTTCCCTTCTTTTTGACGGTAGAGGAAGAAGGAATAATTGATTTAACAAAAGAGAGATCGGAAAAATATATATAAGGCACTTTTAATATTTCTCTAGTGGATTTATCCATTACTTTGAGCATGTTTTGTGTTATTGGTTATTGATAATATATGAAAATAATTCCGCTAAATATATATATTTTTATTTCTTTTGTCAACTATATATATATATATATATACTTTTTTTTATAACTAACTTTTAGTAAATGTTTTTATATTTTCGTTAACCTGAAATTGTATAATTTTAGCAGTTTTTGATTATGTATTCTAAAAGAGAAAATATTTTTGGGAAAATGTGCGAAATATCCAAAATCGAGAGTTTAATTAAGAAAACGACTATGATTTGACTGAATTAAATGTATAACATTTATCTTTAAAATGATCCGGTTCTACCTTTTATGGCAACAAGTCACCGATAAAAAAAAAAAGAAGAAAAAATGACGTCAACAAAAATGTATGTTGCTCAAGATGGAGGTGGGTGTTGATAACTTAGAAGAAACACGACTATTAAATGTGTCGACAAAATATAATTAGTTCTAATATCTATTATATTCCATTTACCAATTTAAGTCATTCTGTTTTTAAGATGAATGCATGAATAACGCTTACCAGATTGCATGTATACTATTCTATATATGTTGCACATATACTATTTTATTTCTGTAACATAGTACATCATCGAAACCTTTATTGAGAACTATACATATAAAACCAACCACAACAACTGAATAATATACCCAAATCCCTATTTAGTAAATCTGAACCCTAATCACTAATCCATAACCAAAATATAAATTCTAAACTCAAATATAAACCATAATCACTAAACTCTAAATTCAAATATAAAACCTAAACCCAAATATAAACCCTCAATCTAAATATAATGAAATTAAATAGATAGCATAGTACATGTTGGAAAAAGACTCTAGTATGGGAGCCCATACCTTATAACTAGGGTTTATAGTGTTTAGTTTTGATCAATATTCAATACGCATAAATTAAAATTCATAACAATGATAAAAAAAAACAAAACATAATTTATACTTATGCATTATATAATCATATTTCTATTCTATATTCTGAAAATAGAATAGAATAGAATAAATAGTAAAGTTCATATATTCCATTTCACATGAATGATCTTTCCATTTTACATATATATGATCTATTCAACTTATATAATCATTGCGTCATTATTGTCATTTCTAAATTATTGGGATTGATTAATAAGTATACGTATAAATAGTTAATTCATAAAAAGATCATAAGAATATTTAACACATGCTTATTTATTATAAAATATATTTCTATTCTGAGTGCGCCAAGTAGAATAGAACAAAAAAATAAATAAATTACAAATAAAATAACTAAAGATAGAATTGATGGAGTAGTGTAGAAAGAAAAACGATGAGAAGGTGAGAAACCATGGGGAGCAGTGGTGATGGAAAGAAGTTTGTGATGGCAATGAAATAACCGCCGATAGTGGTACTGGTGTTGGCAGTGTTATCTACAGAATAATAATAATATAGTACATATAACATTCCTTTCTATTCTATGTGTATAATATAAAATAGAATAGAAAAATATCATCTTCTCCGATCAAATTTTATTAAGTGGTGGAGATGAATGATAAGTAAATCCGACAGAAAAGATGCATTCTACGGTGAAAAAAAACACGGCTATCGGTATGTTACTTTGCCAGGTCTCTGTTTCAACGTCCTCACAAACAAATCAAAAATAGATTAGAATAAACGCACAAGTCCAAACGCAAAGATCAATGGAAGAGAAAATTAGTCACCATCAGAGATAATAAGAGAAGAACCGAAATTGGTTGCCATTACCACAATCGCCGTCAAAAGAATCCCATGAGAAACATCATTCCAGAAAATGATAATACATGACGTTCTAATAAAAGATTTGCTACTTTATTAAATAATTATTTAAATTATCAATAAGTTCAACCGGTTGAATGAAAGGATATTACAATATTAATATATATATATATAACAGTGTGTATATGTCTGTTAGAGGAAATGGTTACTACGTGAATTACGGTTTTTTTTCGTAATTATAGGCCCCAAATTTCATTATTTTTCTTTTATATGTGTACACATACAGTTGGTATAAGAACATAGTTATAGTTATAGATAGAAGAAATATATATATATATATATTAATTAGAAAATCACTAAAGTGATTTCTTTCTCGAACTAATTAACATAAAATATAATAAAATTTATTCGATGCAAGAATTTTGCAAATATGTCATTTATAGAAGAGGCTGAATATTATTTATTTTAATTAGCTCAAAAGTTTTGCTTTAAATAAATTAATCTTATTTGTCAAACACCCTTATATTTTATACATAGTGATCTATATTAATTTGTAGTTGTCAGAAATTCTAGAAACCATATATAATGTTTCTAATATCTTCATATATATTAATTATGATGTCACTTATTTAATTTTTGCTGATGTATTACCATAGATGAGATTGCAAAAAAAATTATCAAGATTTGATAAGTGAATAATTTTTATTTATTTTAATTAGATCCAGAAAAAAAAATTCTAGAACTGGTTAATATTAGTTTCCAAACATCCAATGATACTTATACATAATAATTTATAATTAATTAGTTTTATAACTTATAGAAAGCATACATAATATTTGTAATAAAAATAATAAAAAAATATTTTATTTTAAAACAAAGTACAAATTAGAAAAAAGTAAAAATATCATTCAAACAATTTACATATTTGAACATTAAAAACAATTGCCATTAAAAAATATAGACTGATATAAGACAAACTTATATAAAACAATATAGTGCGTATGAAGAATTTATAATTACAAAAGACATATCAAATACACAATATCATCTATACAAATTTTAGATTGTAATCATTACTTAAAATATAGTACAATTTCACGTTAACATACATATACTATGTTTTCTTAAAATCTATATATTTTTCAGATAAATTATAATCTTATTCTTACATAAGTTTTATAATTTATTCAGTATGTTTATTATATAAAATTTAAATCCCAAATTATTTTATAGAATTAATTTTATGCAACAACTTCATAATATTTCTATTTACAATGATGATGCATATAGAGTTAGTGCACACAATTAATGGAAAATTAATGATTTATAATTCGTATAAATATCTTATAAAATAAATTTAAATACATGCATTACCGATGACAAAAAGAGGAAAAAAAGATACGTGCATTATTAGTACTAGATACTTTTTCCGCGCTACGCGCGGATAACATGTTTTGAAAATTATCAATTTTTACATGTTTATAAATTATTGCATTTGATATAACATCTTTTTAGAAAATAGTCAATGTTTGATAGTGCAATATTGAATTGAGTAAAACAAAATTTGATAATATATAACATCAATTATCATAAAAAAATAATATTATATTTCTTAAACATATTTTTTATTTTTTATTGTTTTTATTTTATTATTTATCATTTTCTACGTTTCTTTTAAAGTGTTTTTAAAAATTATTCTAGAATTTGTTCACACAATAAATGTATTATTAATTATATGAAATTATCTATTTAGTTATGTTGAATCAATATGACATAAAAATAATATTGTACCTCAGAATTTTGTTTTAGAAATGTGCAGTCTTCATTTTATTTTTGTTTCTTAAGGTATCTATCCGTATGATAATTGTGAAAGCATTGTTACTATAATGCTTTTTAGTTGATAAGAGACCATATCTTGAAACATATAATTTAGTGTGAAAAATTATTGAAAATGAGTAAACTTATTTTTTTTTGCCTAAATGCTAAATGTAAAAGTATAATTTATATTGTTTAATAGTCTCTCCAGTAATACAAATTTTCAATCAAATTCTCTTGTAACTAAATAAAACTATTCTGTAGAAGATAAAAATAAAAGGTGTCATAATCCATAAAAATTAAATAAAACAACATTATTGGGAGCATTTTCCACCTTGACATAAAATTTGGTGTAAAATTTTATTTTTCATCTCCAACCATTACACTAAACTTTACTTCAAAACATTTTTTTATATTTATTAAGTTCTTAATTTTGGTAATTTATTATATTAATTATTTGTAACTGATTTATTATATTTTTATTAGAAACTGGAATATTTTTAAAAAGTTTAAATGTTATTTTCTTGTTTTATCTGTAACTTATTATACAATTTCTGTCTTTTTCTATAAAAATTCTGATGGATAATTTGATCGAATTAGGCTTTTGACTTTCCCTTCGTTGCTTTCACAACTTCCAAACTATTTCTCAGTAGACAATGGATGTGTCTTTCATTTCCAAACTACCGTGGAAGTATGATCAACAAAACTAATCAAGAATCGCGTTCTTGATCAAGCTGGCAAACAAAATGATTGGAAAAAATGTATATTTTTCATACATCAAACAAAACAGTAAAGGTTTTTGTTCACATGACTTTGGCTTGTCTTGTGTTGGCATTGATGACTGCCATGGTCTCCGCTCAATACAACAATGACAATAACAATTCAAAGACTCCAAACTCTGCCGTCATTTTTTGTTGTTGGCCGTAGCCACTGTGGCTCTGGTGGGCGGTTTCATCTACTGAGTTCCTTGACTCGTTACTTTTCGTGTTTAGTGACATTTTGCGACTCTTCTTAATTTGTTTTTGTGTGCTATAAGTGCTTAAAATGATTCATCTAATGAATAATTTCTATTGGAGATTCTCTCAATGAAGAAGAAGAGATATGTCAAAGTAATTTGCTGTCACTTAGATGAAAAATTCAAACTCATGAACCTGGAAATTATAATAAAATCACATTAAAAACCTCTTGTAACATAAAGGTGGGATGATACAATCATACAAAAACAACGAACACAAGTAAAATAAAACCAATTCTTATTTAGTACTCTCCCCTTGGAGAAGCTTGAAACCGCTCACAAAAATTTTCTGGCTTCATTTAAAAATCCCTTATCAACGCAGCCTGACAGATTGATAATAAATCTAGGTGATTCATTCGAGCATTTAGGATTGAGCGGTTAAGACCTGAGAGCTGAATCTTTCTATAATTCAACTGCAAAACTCAGTTTCTGTGTATTGTGCTCTTGGTACGGAAACGAAGGTCGTTTTTGTTTACCTATGAGATTTTAAACATCAATCCAAAGAGTAACTTAATGTTGTTCTAAAGAGGAGAAACTGGCAAAAGAAGAGAAAGTTAGCATATACCAAAAGTGGAGAAAGGATAGTCCATGTAGTAACTGCAAGACCTGCCAAGGCTTTCATTGTAAGGAGGTGTGAGAATGTCGAGAACAGTACATGGAGTCAGCGCAGTGAAACAATGGAGATTGCCTCCAGTCTTTGGCTACAACACCGGTAGTTCAGACTGTGGCGTTACAACTTTGTCTTTAACCAGTTTCGCCAATCTTGCTGCTACAAGTAGTTGCAAAGAGTTCTTAAATTATCAATCAACACAAATGAGACCATTAGACACAGAGATGAGAAGGAAAATAAAAACGATAACCTTGAGATTTGTCTTGTGTGACAAGACATGGAGGTTCGACCCAATCATACGCTTTAACGTGAAGTGGTCCATATAGGATTTTGCTGAACAGTCATCTCTGGATGGTCATGCAACGGAATCACTGAAGATGTTGGGAAGCGGAAGATACACATCTGAAAGGAAAAAAAAAACATACAATTAGGTTTCTTAATTATAGCATCCAGTAACAATCTTAAAAGATACGTACTGTAAAAGTATCACACTCATGAAAAAAAACATATAATTAGGTTTCTTGATTATAGCATCCAGTAACAATCTTAATAAATACTGTAAAAGTATCACACTCATGAATGTCTAAGAATGTGATCGGCTGATCCCATCTTCATACTCTGTTGACACGGTTAACCCCAGAGACCTCATAGCCTCTATCATCATCTTGAGCTTCCTCTTCAAGCCCAACATCTCCAGGACTAACTGAATCTGCATAATGACCAAAAAACCAAATCACATCTCTGCTTGTAACAACACAAAACATCCCCAAAGTTTCCACCTTTAACCATTAATTCACCTAAAATTCGACTGATGATGATTTAAAAATTCGTCAATCGCTTCAAAATGACAACTTTTTTTTTTCTTGTTGGTTGGGTCACAGATGGTGCAAGCTTAAGATGAGCAAGAAAATTAAAACCGAATCAGACAAACAACTTAAAAAGACCAAATTTTAACTTGAGTGCTATTGTAATATGAAAGGATCTCTTACACAACAACTTGCTTCTTAATCATCCTTCACCTCCTTTATCTCATTGCTACAGAGAATTAAAAAAAAAAGAAAATAAACATCAGAGACAAAAAAAAAAACTGAACTTTTTCAATCCAATTACTCAATTCTACAAAATAGAGAATGATACTATCACTGTTTGGTAAACAAAATCTGATTGGTAAAGAAAGTGAAGGTGGCAGAGGAGAAGTCGAGGCTTTATGGATTAGGTTATTTATGAGATTTTCGGAGGCTTGATTACACAGAGATGGAGCAGTGTATCGATTGATCTAGGATCAATTAGAGAAGAGGAAACGACGAAACACAAAAGGAGACGGGATTCTTCGTCTATGGCTCAGATTTTAGGGGTTTTAATGGGCCAAGAGAATCAAAAGAAACAGATCTAAAAAAACAAAAGCCCAAAAAACACAAATCAATTGTGACGTGGTTAAATGAAATGTTCTAATTGGTTGATTTTTATTGTCAACGTGGACACCCTCATATGCTCTTATTTAGAGCTTTTAATAATAGTAGATGATCCTAAACTCAATTTCATACATCAAATATTTAATACACAAACAGTGAAGAATTAATATAAGCATGCTAAAATATGATATTTCCAATAAAAGTAAAGGTTTTACTATGTAATACTTCATACAGAATACATAGACACTAAATACCTGAAATATCACTGTGGTGATGATTTAAGTTATACATTGATGAGAAATGAATCTTACATAAAAATATATTATTTGAAAGATTACATGTTTGAATCTTATATGGTTTACATTTAAGGTACAATTTTGATAGGATATATGATACTTTAAACATATTATAGCAATTTTATGTGTAACTGTTTGATGTACAAAAAAGATCTTGACATGATAAAACTCACTATATATATGGTATGCCTAAATATTTAAAATTTATTTGACTAAATATTTAAATAAAAATAACATTCAATTTCTTGACTTTTTTTCTTAATGTAGTTTATCTTTTCTATTTGTAAAGTGACAGGATAATTTATGTGAAGCTTATATATTAAATTAAAATTGTCCAAAATGGTAAAAATAGTTATTAATATTATTGGATCTGAAAAGATTTGTAAGTATGATGACTTCAAAGTAATTATGTTAAGATTTTTTAGGCATTTTCTTAGAGAAGTATTTATTTTTAATAATAATCCTTTTGAATTTTATATCTAAATTAAAAAAATTACATAATAGATTCTTTAAGTAAGCATTTTTTTGTAGATAATCGTTTTATAACGTCTAGGTCCAATATTTTTCAGTGTTCTAAAATATTTTGAACTCAGATATATTTAGAATTGAAGATTTCAAATTCATGTTACTGTGCTATAATTAAATTTATAATTATAACATCCCAATTAGTTATTATAATTTTACTATATATTAAAATAAAATTATTGTAGTGATTTTGTTCGCATGTCTTTCACTTCTCAAATCATATATTTAATTATTTTGATTTTTATTTTAAATTTATTTAATTCGTATCTGAAAAAGTAAACTTTTGACAAAAAAGTAAACTAAAAACTAAGTTCCATCAATTGACAAACAACTCAAAGTTACACATATTTTAAAATTTTAATTTGATATGTCTTTGTTTTCATATACACTTAATAATAAAATATATGATATTTCTATATAAAATAATATGTTCTACATTTATAAAATTGTAATACCTAATCGATAGTTTTTAAAATTTAAGTACTGATTTAATGATATAATATTAGACGACATAATTAGAAATAATAAAATTCCAAATATTTTATTATTATTTTAAAAAAATTTGATGATTAAATATATATTTGAAATATTAAATATCAAAATAATAAAAAATATTTATACATCTTTCATTTACAAACATCTACCACCATTAAAAATCATGCAATATTAATTGAAATGCAATATATTTAGATCACCATTAATAATGAATAATTCATATGCGTTTATTTTTATTTTTATATTTTCTTTCTAATTGAGCTAAAGTGTATTATTTTCCGAACAAAACTTAAGTTCACCCTTAAGGTGAATCTTTAAATTCACCACACCACTTATCACCAATCAAATTGTCACCTAGATTAATAATTAAAAATATTATTTTTTAAAAATAAATCGATTATAGTAGATAAAATAATGAAGTTAATTTTAATGATGCAAATGCCACTAACTAAACCCTAAACCCTAATTTTTAAACCTTAAATTCTAAATCTAAAACAAAACTGTAAACCTTAAATCCTAAATTCTACATTCTAATATCTAAATCTAACTCTAAATCCTAAACCCAAATCATATACTCTAAACCCACCCTAGATTCTAAATACTAAACCCAAATCTAGACTCGAAATCCAAACTTTATACCCTAAACCCAATCTCGAACCTAAACTAAAATCGTAAATCCTAAACCCAAATCTTGAATCCTAAAGGTTTGGGTTAGTGTTTATGTTGTTTTTTTTAGGGTTTAGGATTTGTATTTAGAGTCTAAATTTGAGTTTAGGATCTAAGATTTGAATTTCTGATTTAGGTTTATGATTTATGATTTGGATTTAGTGTTTACAGTTTGGATTTAGGGTCTAAGATTTGGCTTTAGGGTGTAGGGTTTTGGTTTAGAATTTAGAGTTGAAAGTCTAGAATTTAGTTTTAGATTTAGATTTTAGAATTTAGAGTATAGAGTTTAGTTAGAGGCGGTAGCATTGTTAAAATTGCCATTATTTTTTTATTATTGTTTTAGATTTTTTTTTAAAAATAATACTTTTAATTAATAATCTAGTTGGCAATTTAATTAGTGATAAGAGTTTTTTATAAGTTTGTTTTTATTTTATTTTATTTTTTGACATCAGTTTTGTTCTTATTTTCCTACCTGGATCTGCCAAAGTACCTACTCCACCTGACTTGTATGCATTCTCATTGGAATCTCAGACAGACAACTACTATAAAAAACTCTTTATCACTTCTTCTTCACCCTCTTTGTCTTTTACCTTCTCCGCCTCCCTCCGATCCCTCTTTCTCTCTCTCCTTAGGACTCATGGCTTCCATGGCTGCTGGCTCTATTTCCCTGAATGCTCGTCCTCGCCAAATGGTCCTCTCTCTACTTCACTATAAATCTCGAATCTCCTGCTTTTTTTTCTCCCCCATTTTAACTGTTTTTTTCTAGACGTGTATAGTCAGATCTGATCATTTTCTTACAGATCTCGATGTAGTTTTGTATTCTTTTCAACGATAGATCTTATTTGCAGAATCATTTGCTCAGATCTTATGATTCTATCTTTTGTTTTTTTCTCGAATCTTAGGTATTTGACTATGCAGGAACTTTGAATCTTGATAGATCTGATTAATTTATCTCTCTTACATCATAGGTTATTAGATAGACTTAGTTGCTTCTATTTATGTTCTCTGGTATTCAAGAAACAAGAAGCTAACCTACCTCTCTTCTGTTTTGTTTTTTGAATATGATGGCAGGCAACAGCTGTTAAAGGTTTTAGCCAGGGAAGCAGAAGCAATCTTTCTTTTACCCTTCGCCCCCTTCCTACCCGCTTGAGCGTTTCTTGCGCTGTAAGCCTTCTTGTCTTCTTTTATAACACAACACATAGTTATTGCAGGATTTGTTATTGTTCTGCTAATCTAATTCAACTGTTTGAAACAATGTAATTATGCTAATGCTTAGAAAGAATTTGATTATTTGCTTGATTTAGTGGCACTCGGCAAAAATTGATATCTCCTTTTTTGGTAATTGTTGGTTTACAGGCAAAACCTGAGACAGTGGACAAAGTGTGTGAAGTCGTGAAAAAGCAACTCTCACTTAAAGCGAGTGACGAAGTTACGGCTGCCACCAAATTTTCTGCACTTGGTGCTGATTCTCTTGATACGGTACACTCACAATCTTCTCTTATCCAACTTTTTAGTTTTTTTTACCATTCTTATACTATGCACATACTAAATGACACGTGTGTGTGTTGTGTGGTCTAGGTTGAGATTGTGATGGGCCTGGAGGAAGCGTTTGATATTGAAATGGAGGAGGACAAAGCACAGGCGATTGAGACAGTTGAGCAAGCTGCTGAGCTCATTGAGGAAATTTTGAAGGCAAAGGCTTAAGTTTTATTTCAGAACCAATGGAAACACTGAACCCAATCCCCACTATCTTGTTATTGTTTGGTTTTAGCTAGAGACCACTTATGTCTGTTGAGATTTATGTTTCGTTTGGGCAAATTATTTACAAGGCTTGTATTTGACTTTTTTTTCATCTTTAACTTTTTTACCTCCATTCTCCAGAAGTTACCTTTTTAATATATGTTGTTGCAAAAGAAAATGTATCTGTTAAAGTTTTAATCGTATGGAATTCACTTAATCTTTTAAGTCTCGGGGTATTTGATTACTGATATGGAATTTCATATGAGCACTACTAGTTTGTGTATCATGTATTTCGGATTAACCAACGCTCATGCGGTTTTCATGAAACTGATGAAAAACGTCTCAGAGACTGTTTGGATGAATCTCTTATTATCTTCATAGAAGACATCCTGATCAACTCAGAGCACAAGTTTCACTTGAGAACAAACTTGAATAGACTGCAGGAACATAATTTTTTTTTGCTAAGCTTAGCAAATGCAACTTCTGACAAAGAGAAATCAGTTTTTAGTTCATGTTGTCTCAGACAAAGAGGATTGTCTGTGGATCAAGGAAAAATCTAGGCCGTTGCGGACTGGCCCAAATCTAAAAACGCAATTGAGATTAGAAACTTCTTTTGTTTGGCTGGTTGCTACAAACGGTTAGTTAAGGCTTTCCTAGCACGATGATAAAACTAACATGTAAAGATGTTTAGTATGTGTGGTCAATTGAATGTGAGAACGTCTTCTTACACTTTCCTCTAGATGGTACAGGTTTAAGTGTGAGTTTAATCAGTGGATCCTAAGTCAAATCTGTTGTGAAGAATGACAGTTTTGCTTAACTTGATCACAATCACACTTGTTGCTTTGCTCTCCATTCTTGCCTTGATTTTGAGCTTGTAGTGTTGACAGAAAATACATTCAAAATTCATACCTAACTCTCATATCTAAATAAATTATATTATATAATTGCAACAATAGGTAAGTCGAGCAGATATATTTAAAAGTAATAGCAGCAAAAAGGTAGTGTATATTACATAATATAACGTCATAATAATTATAAACACATGACAGTCTACGCAAATTTGAAAAGAATAAAACACTTTCTTTTCAAGAAGCAACAAAGAATAACACTTACATTGTTATAAATTGAAGAAAGAGAGCATTTGCATGGGAATTATATTTTCTGTCTCAAGCCACCACTGCTCTCTTTCCTTTGCTGCTTTTGGTACTATCTTTCTTCCTTCTGGTAATGCCTGTGATGGGATGACCCAGAGGACCTGACCAGGTCTGAACTTGTGTTGGCGGTTCATCTTTCGAAAAATTGAAAGAAGTGGAAGTGAAGGATGAAGCCATGTCTGGTGGCACGAATGTTGGGTCTATGTGCTGCGAGGCCCCCAATGGTATCCCCATTGCTCCACCGTCCTGGTGTGGTGGCGGAAACTTCTCGCTCTTGCTTTTGGCGTTTGCTTGTGTGATTAATCTCCTCCTCTGCTTTTTTTTGTGTCAGAGATAATGTTAACGATACTTTTTGCACATCCTAAAACCAATATTCAGCTCACATCCTAACATAGAGACAAGTGCTATGCGGCAAAACCAGTTTATAACAACTATATACATTATATACCCAAAAGCAACCTAATTTGAGTCACATGAATAGATAACTGTAGAACAAAAGGAGAAGTTATTGAGTTGAGAGGTGCTTACATCGACATTTGACTGAAGTTCTGCATTAGCTTCTGGAGCTGGAAGTGCTCTATTTGAACGGTCTCTGTGCCTATTCTTCCTTGCACCATCTCCTTGGGCTTTACTAGCAGCTCTTTGTCTGCACAGGAGAAAAGTGTAAAGTATAATACAGCTTCAAGTTACAGTGGAATCAACACTCATATCTGAATTTCCAAAATAAATGTATTTCATTTCACTCCGCTCTATCTGGATGGTGATAACTTATATCCAAAGTCAGAACCTAAACTGAGGGGAGTTAACTAAATACGGAGTAAAACACATGGTCTTTTATGGTTCAATCTTGCCAGAAAACGATATGAGTGGAGTACATGAACCACCTCAGCAATTTGCACTCTCAGCATCAATATTCAAGACACATAACAGCTTTCATGAACCCGTGGGAAGAATTGTAATAGTATTTCCAGGATCATGAGAAGCAGAGGCTACAAACTGATAATTAGCAATGACTACAACACTATAGATGCAACTAACCTCCGAGTTTCTTCATCTCGTCGCTTCGCATCCATTTCTTTACTCGGTGGATACTTTGGTAGATCAGCAGGTTCACAGGCACATGGGTCGCTTGTAAAGAACTGTACAAGGAGAGTAAAACACTAATTCAATCCTGCCAGCCACATCAAACCAGTACACATGTAAAACATAACCAAAAAGCAAGAACATACTTCACTTTCTAACGCAGCAGTTGCAGTTTTACGGTTTTCCGGTTCAATTGATAGAAGAGAGTCAATGAGAGGAAGAGACGACTGTGGAAAATCTTTAAACGTCTCTCTAATGCATCTTTTATACGGTTCACGTGGTTTGTATATAGCTCCGTGTGTAAACTTTCCTTTCTTCCAGTAATCCTCTGATGGTGAACCACAGAGCTTATAAATCTTATGGAGTTGCTCCACCTAAGAAAAGAGCAGTCCACACTAAGTATGAATATTCCAAATATCAAAGAATGATGATATTCGACCAGATGATGATACCTCTGTTCGACCAGGCATAATAGGTCTCCCCGCCAATAACTCAGCTAAAATACAACCAGCACTCCAAAGATCAATACCTACACCATAATCAGTGGCACCAAGAAGAAGCTCCGGAGCTCGATACCACAGCGTGACAACTCTGCTCGTCATCGGCCTTTTATGATTAGGATCAAAAATAGTCGCCAGTCCAAAATCAGCAATCTTGAGAACACCACCATCATCAATAAGAAGATTTGATCCTTTTATGTCACGATGAAGGACTCCACGACTATGACAATGCTCCATACCAGATAACAACTGACGCATTAAACATTTAACCTACAATACAGAAATGGTCATTATATTTCTTTCTTTTTTTAAAATCTAAAGGTGAGACTTTTCTTTTTACCTCTGATTCAGAGAACTTAACAACAGGGCTAGAAGCAAGACCAGCCAAATCATGATCCATATACTGAAACACAAGGTACAAGCTACAAGACATCCTTGAAGTAACCAAACCTTCCAACTTAACAACATTAGGATGATCAAGTCTCCGCAGAACTAAAATCTCTCGCGCCATAAACTTAACGCTTTCAGGCTCCAAATTATCAAACCGAACCTTCTTAAGCGCAACTATTTTACCACTCAACATATCCTTAGCTTTGTATACATTACTATACGTCCCCTGTCCAATCTACAAACAAAACAAAAACAGATTTCAAAAACCAGAACTTTGTTGTAACAGAAAAAGCCACACACCACACAACCTTATCACTACTTTATTACATAGTCTAGACTCTTGTTATTGTTCTAAAAAGATTTAAAAAAAACAGAGCTTTGTTGTAACAGAAAAAGCCAAACACCACACACCACACAACCTTATTGAATTACATAGTCTACACTCTTGTTATTGTTCTAAAAAGATTTAAAAAACAGAGCTTTGTTGTAATTTAAAAAACAGAGCTTTGTTGTAACAGACAAAGACAAACACTACACACAACCTTATCGATTTTCTCGAAAGTATCGGCCTTTCGTGGAACCCAACCGTTAAGAGCTTCACCACAAGCATCAGAGAGCCAAGAGGGCCAACCAGCAGCGACCTGTTCGCCTCTCCAATGCTTTGAGGGGTTACTAAGACGTGGATTCGGCTTTGAAGATCTTCTCCGATCTCCTCCTTTCGGTTTCCTTTCTACTTCTTCCTTCTTCTTCTCTACTTCTACATCGGAACCATTGCTCTTACTCGCTGTTTTGGAGGAGGTCTGTGGTAGTTTGGGCTCAGATGTTTTGGCTCCAGAGGAAGCCTCACGCCCAAACACACAGCCCATTTAGAAAGAAAAGAAATGAAGTTCGAATCTGAGATTTAGTTTGGGTGGTGAAATCCCTAACCCTAATCAAATGATTCCGACCTCTCCATGGAAGCTCGGGGTTGAGGTGAGTTAGGGAGAAGGAAGCAGTAAGTTGAGAGGGAAGAGTTTGAGGAGAGCAGAGATCGAATCTTTGGGAGGTAGAAACTGTGCTTGAGAGAGAGAGAGAGAGAGAGAGAGAGAGGGACTGGGCAGCTAGCGGATGAGCGAGAAGTGGGAGTAGGAGAGCGTTTTTTTTTTCTTTCACACAAACTCTGTATTTAATTTCCTGCTTTTTTTTCCCTTTCTTCTTGTAAAATGAACTTAGACCAACCCCGATAATTCACATTTAAATAGTTTTTTTAATTAAAACATAGAAAAATTTCATAGGATAAACCTAAAAAAAAAATTGTTATAAATATAGAACTTAAAAATAAAAGTGATCAAAATAGATTTAAATATTTTCAGAAATAAGTAAATATACACTTATACCATTTATGTTAACTAATCTTAGACTTGTTTTTGTTTAGAGTTGAGAAATTGGTTTTAGGGATAAGATTTAAAATTTTAAAAAATTTAAAATTTTTAAAATATAAAATTTTGTTTTAATCATTTTAATTTTTAAATTTATTTTTGTGATAAAAACTTAAAATGTCTATTTAAGAGATTTGTCCTAAAATATATGTTGGATATAGTTATTTTATGAGTAATTTAGTACAAAAAAATAAAGAGTAATTTAGCTTAATATATGAAAGAATAAAATTTGGTTTAGTTTCATTTTTTAGTTTTAGGAACCGTTCCGTTTTTTATGAAATTTAGTAGTTTAGTTCAAATAATAATGTTAGAAATATAAGATTATCTATTAATTTTTTAGTTTCGGTTCGATTTTAGTTTTCTGGATAACTCGGACAATTCAAGTAAAAATCAGATATTTTTTAGTTTTTTGGGAATAAATATCGGGTAATTTGAATAAATTTAAATATATTGATAAAAATTATTCGATTAATTCAATTATTTCAAATCATTTATATCATTTTAAATATTTCATATAAAAATATCCTGATAATTCAATTGTTTGTGTACTTTAATTTATAAGTAGTATTTTAAAAATAGTTGGTAAACTATATTTTAGATATTTAAGTATATATTCGGCTATTGGTTCGATTTCAGTCTGATCATTGGTTTCAGTTCTAGAGATATAAACACCACTTGATTATTACACTGCTCGGTTTAGATATGGGTTTGAGTTTTTTCACTCAGTTCGGTTCTGGTTCAATTTTTAATTATCGGTTTACATGCTTATACCTAAAAGAAAATGTTAAAACTACATATATGTCCCTAGGTTTTTATATTATATAGGTGGAGTTTTAGCTTAAGTTTAAAATAGACTAGGATTATACTTCTGCGCACAACTAATCCTTCTATATATTACACCTGACGCTTTTCAAAAGGAACACTTTGTTTTATTTTTGTAGTAAGAGAAAGTATTATCCTTCCCAAATCCAAGTCTCAAAATTTTCTAAAGAAGAAGAATGAGTAATTCTATTACAAAATCACAAACTGAATCGAAATTATTGTATGCTGTGCAAGATAATTTTTGGCTTAACTAGATATAAAGAAACTCTTTGTAAAATGTACTCAATGTTCTTGAAAAATGATGAATTTATATTTTTTTGTGAAGATAAAATTGAACAGTGCTTTTTATTTTAAAAAAAGCGATCTTCATTACCTGTATGCATTATGCCGTATTTCCAAACATGGATCAATAATAAATTTTTAAAAGCGATCTTCAAATGCCACAAAATTTATTATTAATCCATGATAATTCTCTGTTTAAACACATTTTACAAAAGAAAAATATCTGCGGGCTTACGCCCGTGGGCCTTCCTGTTGACTTAAAATTGGGATTTAATTGAATATGCTTTTGCATGCTGGACCAGGCTACATTTCACCCCTTTTCAATATTCTGTAGTCGGCCCAAAAAGTGGTTTTGTTTCTCAAACATGAATCATGTAGAGGAGAAATATGGTACGTGCGATCAAGTATCAACGTGGACTTCTGTGGTCATAGTTATTGAAACGGAGACGGAATGATTTTAGGCATTGAGAGAGGTGAATACATCCAAATTCTACGCGCGTTGTAGCTACGCTTGTTTTGTGTCTTCTTCATTTACCGTTAAAAACCTTGCGGAACACAGTTGAACACGTCTTTCGTGTGACCTAACTCCTCAAATGACATTACTACGTTTTGTTTTTATTGCTACTATATACAAAGAAAATGATTACATAATAAAAGGAAGATATTTATCAAAAATAGAAAGAAACCTAGGAAAACGACAGGGAAAAGTAAGAATGTTGGCTTTTGTTTCTTGTTAGATATTTGCCTAACTGCGTAATCTTGATAACGATTCTAAGAGAGAATAAAACCTCAAGCAAAATAGTTCAGTTATTCATTTGAAGCTTCAATATAAAATATTTTTGTTAAAATTTAACGGACAATAAAAATAAGAATAAAAAAATTATTTCATACGTTGTGAATAACAATCAGGCCACGTTCAAATGCATGGAGTATGCTTTTAACACCTACTAGATTTTTAAACTGCACATCCGTGCAGATGTATTTTTATTTTTAGAATTATTTTTTAATTTTTATAACAATCTGATAAAAAGTATTATTACAGTTTGCTGTTTTGTATTATGTAATTTAAACTTTTTGTTCCATATAATATATAATTATTTATAATTTTCTCATTTTTTTTATGAAACAACATAGAAATTTTATTTAAATTTAAAATAAATATGTTTATATGAGAATTAAAATAAAATAATTGATCTATTTAACACATTTCGTTAAGTTTTCTGTCTTTTCAAAAAAATGAATTAGATTTTTTTTTATATATTTATCATTGCTCAAAATTTATTTTAATGATTTTTTTTTTTAAATAAGCTAAATTTATTTGTTTAATGTAGAAACACATAACATCACTTGTAAACTAAAAAATCATATAATTAAACATATATAGCTTTGTACTTTTTATAATGTATTTATATTAAATTTAAATTTTATTTTTCTAAAATTTATATTTTAACTTTTTAAATTAAAGTAATATATTATAAAAATAGTAATTGTATTTATTTAAAATTTAAAATATTATTTATTTCTAATCTTTAATACTAATTACGAATTTAATGAATTATTTAAAATTAATAAACAAAATATTTTCTAAGATTTTATTAAAGTAAAACAGGCAATATTCAAAAATAAATAATGATATAGTAGAATATTCTTATGCGTGTTAGCATATTTTATTCGAATGATCTAATATATAAATATTATTTTAATGTATTAAATTTATTAATGAAATGGTTCATTGACTCTTATCAGTAGATAAAAAAATAGAACTATGTTATAATAGATTAGATTTTTCATCGACAACTATTTCTAAGTTCATTGTTTTTATTAAATCTTCAAAACATACGTGTGTTATAAATTGTGAGAATACAAAACTCCTACTTTGGGAATTTCACTAAGACATGACTAATATAAAAAAAGTTTGAACCAATTTACATATTATATATGTTCTGATACCACATTTAATTTGGATTTATTATAGTTTTCTAATTTAAAAATCTGTTGACTGTATCTTATATATTACAAATTTTCTTGAGATAATGATGTGTATAACCATAATTTCTACACAATCTACATAAGTTAGTTTTATTTAAAAACTTAAAATAAATTTTAAATAATAAATTAGATTTTGATCCGTATTTTAAAAGCACGAAATTGGTTCTGTCTAAACTAAATAATACTTAATAAATATTTTAGTAAGTTTTGGTTAGCAAATTATAGTCATAATTATAATATGCTGCTTTTTAAAACTAATATCTAGAAAAACTAAATATATAAATGTACTAACTAAAATAATTTAAAATAACAAATTTTTAAATAAAATACATCTTTCTATTTTATAGTTAAGCCTACATTAAATCACCAATATTCCTTTCTTTATACTACTATCCATGTTTCCAAACAATATATTTATTTATAGTACTATCTATGTTTCCAAACAAAATACTCATTTTTTATACTACTATCTATGTTTCCAAACAATATTATAATTAATCTTATGTCCAAAAATATTCTCATTTCTTTATATTACAATTCATGTTTAAACAACACTGTAATTAATCTTATATCAAAAATACAAAATTTTAGATCTTACATTTGTAATAATTTCTCACAATTTCTTTCAAATTATTTAGAGAAATTAAAATTTCAAATAATATATAAAAAACAAAAATAAACTTATTTACAGGTTCAAATATTACATATCACATCAGTTATCCATGGTTCAATCAGTCAGTCTCGGGTTTTAGTGATTGTTTTTTAAAAAATATGGATATTTTAAAAATAAAAATTAAACTATTAGATCACCGGTTTAACCGCGGTTTAGATTTAATTTAAAAATACTGATTTAAATGAAAAATACTTTTAATACATAAATTCTTTCAAATTACCAAAATATTTGTTAAATTATTTATGAATTTTTTTATCATAAATATTTTGCGGTTGCAAAGTCAAGTATGAGGAACTTGCGTCAATATCATGTCACGTTTGCATCAAACCGCTCTCAATTGGTGAAGATGGTTTCAGAACCAGAGGAATGGCCAGCTTTTGCATTCTATCTCGAAGATATCAAGATGCTGAAGGAGAGTTTTCACAGCTCGGAAATCATCTATGTACCAAGAACACTGAATTCACGGGCGGACAGTCTAGCACGCAGTGCGAGAAAACAATCGTCTTTCGTTGTTCACATGGATAAAGAGCTACCGGTTTGCTTCGCAGAGTCAATATGAGTCTGTATTTTTGATGTCAAAAAAAAAAAAAAAAGAATTTGTCTTAACCTATAAAATATAGGTCAAGGCAATAAAATCTAGAAATTTTTGTATTATTTTAAAAACTTGTATAATTAATAACATCAAAAGTAACTAAACTCTCAACTTATTTTTTAATACAAACAATTAAGTTTTAATTTGATTTTGCACTTCGAACAAACGTACATAAATAGTGTTTTCACTGCACGGTTATATCTACATAATACACTGTTTGATACTATTAATACAAAATACAATTTTGATATTGTTCTTAAACATAAAATCGAATCAGACAAACTCGAAACAAAATAAAACTGAATTATATAAAATACTTCTGGATATACAAACTTTCCTAATCTAAGCAAATAAGAGAGGTGGATGATTGTAACAAGCTAAGATCCTAAAAATATAAACAAAGGTGATCTCAAATCCAATCAAGAAATAAATGCAAGAACACTTTCAATCAAATGATAAGGTAGAATCCATGAGATTAAGTCAATATATCTAAAGCAATTAAAGTTTCAATCAAAATGTTCCTTAAGTCTAAACAACTTAACTAAGCAAGTTCTAGGTCTAGACAAATGCTCATTTGCTTTCATTAATCAACCACAAATGGTCATTGGCTCAATTAATTCAAGCAATCATTAAGAATAGGTTTAATAACTATCTAAAACCCCTAGATACAAATGGTCATTGGCTAGGTAGTCTTAAAGCTAAGTAAAGATGGTTCAGTCATTTCAACATACACCTTGTGAGCAGAAAATGACTAAGGTTCAATCCTAGAGGGATCAAGTCTAGAATAGCATTAAACACACTCTACTAGCAAGGAAACACTTAGATCTACACTTAATCACCTTAAATCTACCTAATCCATGGATTCAAATAGTGTCACTCTCTAATCTCCATGAGAAACCTTAAATCCATGATGGATTCAAGGCTAATCATGTTAATGAGAATGAGAAACAAGATATAATATGAAATACTTCCTTAAAATGATATAAAGTTTCAAGCTTTTACAATTAGAAACAAGTTCATGAGAGAAAATGGGATACTTTAGGGTTTTTGGGGTCTAAAACTATATATAGGAGGTCCAAATTTGTCCTGGTTCAATTGAATTAAACCGGGTCAAACCGGTCAACATCTTGACTTTATGAAAGATCTGAACTGCCGCGGCCAAGCTTCCCCCGCGTCGTGTGCCTGCGACATGTGCTCGTGTCTTGAGTGAGGTTTCGCGGACTCGATCTTCCGCGGTGCTCCCTGTGAATCATCCCTGTTGAATTCTCGACATTAGGTCGCGGCTGGCTTCATCCCGCGGTGTTTGACCCGCGTCTTCCTCGAGCTTCTCCTCCGATTTTCTCCACTAGAATCCATGGCGACGCAGCTCCTCTGTCGCGTCCACTCGTCGTTCTTCAAGCCTCGCCTCCGTCGAGCGTGCTCAGATCCGCTGTCAAGCTCAATCCACCATCTTCGTCGAGCTCTTGTCTCGTGTTCCGGGTCGAGCACGTGCTCAACAATCTCAGCCACCACTGTGCCTCCTCCATCGTGCTTATCTCCACCTCTGAGAACTCCGGTGGCATCGTCGTCGAGATCGACGCCATCGTCATCAACAGAAACCGGCGAGAGGAACCATCGATCTTTCCCATGGTGAAGTTTTAACTATTTGCAAAACAGGTCCCCGGAGTCTTGATTATTCACGCATTCGCCTACTCGTATTAGCAGATATTGTCCTTCGGCTTCTAGTTTCTTTTAATTCGGACCCAGAGTTTGTAAATTGCAGAAACATCCTTGATTTTTGCCCCAAACTCCTAATTGTGCAATCCGGACCCTGATTTATGCAAGTGGATAAATATATACAAAAAGACTTCTAAATGCATCCTAAATGATCAATATGAATTAAAATGAGATATTAAAAACCTACAAAAACATGAGATATCAATTCCCCCAAACTAGATCTTTACTTGTCCACAAGTAAACTTTTAAAACAAAACAAGGGAAGAGGTTTTACAATGAGAACTTAAATCTTAACAACAAAAGCATTCAACTCAATGTCCATCCAAGTAGTTTTAAAGTGCACCAATGATCTCTACTTTAAAAGTGTTAGCCATACTCATCACTCATGTATTGTCTTAGAGCTAAACTTTCAATTTAATAGTAAGAAACCAATGGAACTCAATTCTTTAACATTCATTAAGTGTTTAGTGAACTCTCTCAATCAACTTAAATCACAAAACAATGGGCTAGGTGTCAAAGAGGCTAAGGTGACTTTTTAAGTGAGGTTTATTCAATTTCTCTATGGTTTTCACTCATGAAAAAGGGATGCATAAGTTAATTGCAAAAGTAAGAAGAAGAAGAACAATTCATGCATACAAGTATTCACTTCCATGTTCTACTCTTTCCTAGTTATATATCTACAATCCCAAACCATAAATATCAAACCCAAAACACTTCTCTCACCCCCAAACTCACTCTTTTTCATCATTTTGCTACTTAGAAGCTCTTTCTTATAACATTGCTCTCTTTTCTTTTATCCTCTTTATTCTTTTTTTTTCTTTTCTTTTCTAGAGGATCTTATCATCATTTGTTTTTTTTATCTAGAGCTTTTAGTTTCTATCTCATACTTCCTAAGTTTCTCTTTCATTTTTCATTCACCCATTTTTCTTTCTTTTTCTTTTTCTTTTGGGTTTCTTTTCACTCTTTCATTGCTTTCACTCTCTTCTTTTCTTTCCTCACATCACATAATCTCACTCCAAAACAATCCCATCAAACCCCCAATCCTAACCAATCAAAGCAATTGGTATATGGAAGCTACTACTTGTCGTTCCTCTATCATTCAAAATTTTGCACTAGAATGCATCATCAACAAGAGGCCTCACTCATCAAACAATCAAGGGGCAAAGAAAAAGGGTTAGGGTTCAAGGTGAGGTACCATTTAGTGATGAAAATGGCCATTCAAGCTTGTAAGAAAGTCTAAAAAGAGATAAGCAAACTTGAATGTTCTATTGTTACCAAGAGTGAGCAATTCAAGCTTCAAGAGAGAGTAATTAGATGTTCATTTAAGTTCAAGTTCATAGAGTTGAGCTACAAGGAAATCATGCATCTACAAATGAGTTCAACTATCAAGCTATGAGATCCAAGCATGGTTCTTCCTTAACTTCATGTTCATTTAAATGCAATAAACAACTCCAAGGATGGACATTCAATCAAACTCTCAAGTTGTTACTCACCAACAAAAGTTCATTAAGACTCTTAATACATATGCAATGCAATCTTAATATGCACTAGACTCAATCCTAATATGCACTAGACTCAATCCTAAAATGCAAATGAGAAAAGATTCTACATGCTTATTTTTCAAAAAATTTAATTTTTTAGGGTTTTTTTATGCAAATAAACATGTACAATGCAATGCATGGCAAGTAAACAAAACAGAAAACAATGTGAGATTGTAGACTCTCCCCCAAACTTACTTCACACAGTCTCTTGTGTGATAGTAAACTTGAAAGAGAGATCAAAGGAAAAATAAAACATGATGAACTAAGTATTTACAAGGGTAGAATGCACTCACTTGAAGTTGGCCTTGATGAGAGGAGGGAATGAGGAAGGAGAGCTTGTTGTGACCTTGGTGATGTCGACATGACCTCTTGGAAGATTTACAACTCCCCCAAACGTGTCCCTAAACTTATTCAAACATATTAAAGCAAGATAAAATATAAAGAGAAATATATACAAAGGATAAACATGGGAATGCCTCCCAAGTGCGCTTGTTTTAAGTCTCTAGCTTGACTTTGTGTGCTCACTAATCATAAGTATCAAAAAGCTGAGCCAATGCACCTTTGGTCCTTCTCCTACAAGAACAAGAAACCAAGTGTGCAAAGAAACACACTACTGTCCATAGAAAATAGACAGATTTTTCATCAAAGAGCTTCACTAAAGATATATCATAAATCATGAGATGCTCTTTGAGGTTCAAATGGTCATGAGAATCAAATGCATTTGGTGGAAAAACAAAGTCAACTAGAGGTTCAAATGAAGTTTTAACAAAGTAGTCAACTCTATCTCCATCAATCAAATAAAGCACAATATTCACATTCTCATGATTATTTTTAACATGGGGGTTTCTATCTCAAGCAAGAGCTTATCCACATTAAGTTCATCCCCTAAATCACTTAGCTCAAGAAGAGGTCTAGATTTATCAAGCATCAAAAACTCAGATTCGAGATCAATTGAAGCACAAAGATAATTCTTGTCAAAATAAACTTCAATGTGATCTCTAGCAAGCTTTTCTACTCTCAAATCATCTAGTTTCCTAGTTTCACATATCAGATCAAGACATTCATTTAAAAGCACCACAGAATCAAGATTAGGGGCAATGTTCTCACCACAAGGCAAACAAATTTCCTCAAGTTGAAGTTTTAAAGTAGAAATGCTTATACCTTCCAGCTGGAGTGGTGGAACCCAATACATTACCTCATTAAGGGCACGAGCAACATCAAACTCATGCTGAGTAACTTCCCTTCCTTCAAACTCTGCTCTATCCCTAATGAGGTGTATCCGGACCATTTGTGCTAGATATCTTATTGGCTTTCCCCAGTACTCTCTCATTCTCTTAAGCCATTGTAGCTCCACTCTTTGGTCTGGTGTGAGTATGCGTATATCAAAGGATGGTGGCTTCACATATGGCTGATCTTCAATGTGATCTTCAAATGTGTCTTCCTCTTCTTGTGGCTTCTCAAAGTAGCTTGAAGCCATCTCTACAAATAACAAAAGGTAGAAGAAACGGTTAGTAACTAAACAAAGCAAAACAAAGGATAAGAAAATAAAGCTTAGTCTCAAGAAAGATTAAAATCCTAATGAAAGATCGATCTAGTTCTCCGGCAACGGCGCCAAATTTGATAAGGGTTTTCAATCCTCGGAGCAAATCGATTGTAGTATTTGAGATTGTCGAACCACAGGGAACTAGTGATCAAAACACTAAGAATATACAAACTTTCCTAATCTAAGCAAATAAGAGAGGTGGATGATTGTAACAAGCTAAGATCCTAAAAATATAAACAAAGGTGATCTCAAATCCAATCAAGAAATAAATGCAAGAACACTTTCAATCAAATGATAAGGTAGAATCCATGGGATTAAGGCAATTGATCTAAAGCAATTAAAGTTTCAATCAAAATGTTCCTTAAGTCTAAACAACTTAACTAAGCAAGTTCTAGGTCTAGACAAATGCTCATTTGCTTTCATTAATCAAACACAAATGGTCATTGGCTCAATTGATTCAAGCAATCATTAAGAATAGGTTTAATAACTATCTAAAACCCCTAGATACAAATGGTCATTGGCTAGGTAGTCTTAAAGCTAAGTAAAGATGGTTTAGTCATTTCAACATACACCTTGTGAGCAGGAAATGACTAAGGTTCAATCCTAGAGGGATCAAGTCTAGAATAGCATTAAACACACTCTACTAGCAAGGAAACACTTAGATTTACACTTAATCACCTTAAATCTACCTAATCCATGGATTCAAAAAGTGTCACTCTCTAATATCCATGAGAAACCTTAAATCCATGATGGATTCAAGGCTAATTATGTTAATGAGAATGAGAAACAAGATATAATATGAAATACTTCCTTAAAATGATATAAAGTTTCAAGCTTTTACAATTAGAAACAAGTTCTTGAGAGAAAATGAGATACTTTAGGGTTTTTGGGGTCTAAAACTATATATAGGAGGTCCAAATTCGTCCTGGTTCAATTGAATTAAACCGGGTCAAACCGGAATAAACCGGTCAACATCTTGACTTTATGAAAGATCTGAACTGCCGCGGCCAAGCTTCCCCCGCGTCGTGTGCCTGCGACATGTGCTCGTGTCTTAAGTGAGGTTTCGCGGACTCGATCTTCCGCGGTGCTCCCTGCGAATCATCCCTGTTGAATTCTCGACATTAGGTCGCGGCTGGCTTCATCCCGCGGTGTTTGACCCGCGTCTTCCTCGAGCTTCTCCTCCGACTTTCTCCACTAGAATCCATGGCGACGCAGCTCCTCCGTCGCGTCCACTCGTCGTTCTTCAAGCCTCGCCTCCGTCGAGCGTGCTCAAATCCGCTGTCAAGCTCAATCCACCATCTTCGTCGAGCTCTTGTCTCGTGTTCCGGGTCGAGCACGTGCTCATCAATCTCAGCCACCACCGTGCCTCCTCCATCGTGCTTATCTCCACCTCTGAGAACTCCGGTGGCATCGTCGTCGAGATTGACGCCATCGTCATCAACAGAAACCGGCGAGAGGAACCATCGATCTCTCCCATGGTGAATTTTTAACTATTTGCAAAATAGGTCCCCGGAGTCTTGATTATTCATGCATTCGCCTACTCGTATTTGTAGATATGGTCCTTCGGCTTCTAGTTTCTTTTAATTCGGACCCAGAGTTTGTAAATTGCAGAAACATCCTTGATTTTTGCCCCAAAAATCTAATTGTGCAATCCAGACCCTTATTTATGCAAGTGGATAAATATATACAATAAAGACTTCTAAATGCATCCTAGATGATCAATATGAATTAAAATGAGATATTAAAAACCTACAAAAACATGAGATATCACTGTAATAAGATGAAGAGATGAAACCAAGTCGCAGAAAGACAAAAGGATACTAAATCGGGTTGCAGAGAAGAGAATCGAGAATTATGGTTCTCAGAATAGATTTGGGAAATTTTATAACTCTGTTCTGTTTTGAAAACGATACCCTACATGTTCCTACAAGTATACGTGAACAGTAAACAGAGATTTAACAACAAAATAATTGACCTAAAGTGTGTATTTTATGGTTCGGTCAAAAGTAATTGTCAAAGTAATATTTTATGGGATCCGACAATTTTTGGGAGCTTGAACCTCAGAGAAGGGATAGCTGGATTTGGAAGAGATTATGCGAGCTGAGAACGGTTGCTAGACCCTTTGTCTTCTGTGAAGTTGGCTCTGGTATAACAGCTAGTTTCTGGTTTGATAATTGGACGGATCTTGGGCCATTGATTCATCTAACTGGTGACAGAGGTCCTGCAGTCTCGGGTTTACACAAGGATGCGACCGTGTCCGAGGCGTTAATTAACGGAGAGTGGTGGTTGAGTAATTCTCGGAGTAGAAATGCAATTATCACGCTTCTAAAGCAATGCCTCCCTTCGCCTGGTCCTATTGCGCAGTCATCTATTGATGATACTTACCTTTGGAAATTGGGAAATGATTCCCCTCCAACTGTCTTCTCCACTGCTAAGACGTGGCTCACGCTCCACCCCCCTAATCCTTAGGTTTATTGGCACTCTCAAGTGTGGTTTAAAGGTAGAATTTCTAAGCATGCTTTTATCTCATGGCTTGTGGCTTGGAACAGATTATCAACTCGTGATAGAATGAGAGGCTGGGGTCTTGATGTGTCTCCTAGTTGTCTGTTATGTTCCGCAGGTGATGAGTCTAGACAACACCTTTTCTTTGGTTGCAGATATAGCTCTGAAGTTTGGACCTTGTTTTGCTCTAGGCTCCACTTGTCGCCTCCTGCTCCTTATGAAGACTGTCTTAGGTGGCTAAGGAATCCTACGACAGACTCCAATGTTTGCCTCATCATTAATCTGATTTTCCAAGCAGCTGTGTATATGATCTGGAAGGAGCGTAACGCTCGTCTGCATACAAGTATTTCTCTTCCCCCTCAAGCTATTATTCAGGAGATAAAAAGTACTGTGAGATTGCGGTTGGATCCTCTGTCTCGTAGTATGAGGCTAGCTAACAATTCCTCATCTACTTTTTTGGGCTCATGGCTTAGTTATTTTTGAGGGTGTTGTTAAGTCCCTTTTTCGATTAGTTAGATGGTAGAAGATTGAGTTGTATCCAGGTTTGGATTTGTTTTATAAATAAAATGCAGTTAAAAAAAAAAAATTGTCAAAGTTTTACGATTTAAATGACCGTGTTCCTGATATAAATAGGGTGAATTGGGTGAATACCCAAAAAGAGAGAGATAATTAAGAATTGGGGGGGGGGGGAAAGTGGTATGTGAGGGAAGAGAGAGATAGAGATAAATAGGGTAGAATCCTAATTTAGTGGTTTTGTGTGTATAGATGGTGCAAATACTCATATAAATAAGGGTGTAGACTTTTTTCTAATTTTTTTTTGTGAAAGAGACTTATTCTTTTACATCAGAACTAACAGTAAGAGGAACCAAATTTTAGCAAACAAAAAAAACATTAAAAAAGAAATCATGAATACCACAAAAACTTGTCTGATTTTTTTTCTTGTAGTGATATTGGCAAATCCATTGTCCGATTCTAACGTACTGGCTTCACCGGGTATGATTTAGTTGTATAATATTTTTGGTCATTCTAAATTATAGAAAACTGATCATAACCAAATATTAATACATTATAGATTTTTAGAAAATCATTTTTGAGAATAAGATCTAACACATGGTAATCGTAATATATTTTCTATCTTATTAAAAATACTAATTTTATTATTATAGTAATTGTAATATATTTTCTATCTTATTAAAAACTAGATATGCACGGGTCCGGATTAATATTTCAATTTAATAAAAACATAAAATGAGAATCTTTTTTTATTGAAATTATGTTTTTATATATGGTGTGTGGAATTCATTTTAGGAACAAAATTCGTTTGTTCACCTAAGTTTTGGTTAGACTTTTAATTCAATAATCATGACACATACGTAGGGCTAGAAAAAATAAGCGAGATCCGAAAGTTCAAATTAAACTCAATCTAAAGAAATGTAAATTAGAGTAAAATACAAAGAATTTGAAAAGTGGATCAAGCCATTTGAGTATATGATAGTGGCATACACTTTCTTAAACTCTTAATTTTGTTTTTATTAACTTGTTTGTTATTCTTCTTACTCAAACATAATATGAAGTTTTAATTGTAATTTAGTAATGTTTGTGTTTTCATTGTTAGGTCTCAGATTTTTTGTGCATTTATCATTTATATAGTTTGGTTTGCTTGGTTTATTTTTATTTAAAATATCTCCAATTAAGCTGTAAATTTTTTCATAAAATAGATAAACTCTATTATATAGGTGAATTGCTCTAGTGTATTTCTCTGTTATATAGTTTCTCTATTTTAGAGAAAGATGTACTGGAATGCTTTTTTCATCTCTATATTTAAAAACAAAAGTAACACATCTTTATATTTTTCTCTAAAAATAAAGGAAATCTATTACATAATCATATGTTGAAGTAAATCCACTTCTGTAATATAATTTCTCTATTTTAGAACAAAATTTGTAGATGAATATATAAGTGAACATTATAAGATCAGTATTTTATCGTCTAATTTATATGTAATGAAACTATTAATACCTTATGCAATTTTATCCAACTTTGATTCTTGTAGTCACAAAAATATATGTGCTTGATAAAAGTTATGTTTCTGAATCTCACTGTGTGAATAACTGTTTATGAAAATAATTAGTGCATGTTGTAATAGACATGAAGAAGAAATAATCATTAAGAAGTTTTTTTTTTAATTCTACTTCAAATATATGATATTCAATATCAGGTATATAACTTGGAGTCTTGTTTCTCCTTTTAATGGCCTCAATGCAAGACGAAATCCGGCAGCCAATTTCAAGTTTTTTCTTACTTTGAATCTTCCCCTATAGTAACAAAACTTTCCAGAAATGAAATATGTATGTAATCTTAAGTTATAATTTTCTGCATAAAAAAATAATAATTATATAATTATACATATAAACTTTTTAATAAAATAAAATAAGAAAAGGAATGGATATTTATCTTTACGTCAATTAAGAAAAAATTCATTCATATGTGTTCTTTATTATTATTTTAAATTACGTACTTCTAACTTTTTGGTAACAATAAATAATTTTCCACTCATTATTTTTGATGATATATTTCCATTATAACAACTTAAGTAAAAATAAATTATAAAAACATAGTAAAAACAAAGAAAATGTAATAAGACGATGCATAGAACTTGATTTTTTTTAACCAAACACATATAAAGATCAATTATGGTCATAATATATTAATATTTCAAATGACCAAACACTAAAAATTATATCAAATAGGTATTTTATTTTCGTATGACCAAACACATAAAACTAAACTTGAAAACATCCTAATTTTCTTATGATTATTCATAAAAATGTGAAACAGTAAAACACTACAAAAATATTAAAATAAAAATAATAGTAGTAGCACAAAAATATTGAGTTATATTAATCTACCTTGAATTCATTCAAAGCAAATAGCCTGTTTTAACAAAAGGGATAGAACTACATATGAAAAAAGAAAGACATCTATTGATATTATAATAGACAATAAAACATTTTTATATTATAAATTTTAAAAATTACATGAATCTAAGTGTTTTAATTTTTCCTAAAAAGTATTAACATTTGAAGTGTTTTCTAAAATGTTACTTTTAAGTGTTTTCTAAAAAGTAATAACATTTTAATCAGTTGAATCTAAGTGTTTTAATTTCTTCTTACTTTTATTTTTTGTTCTTTGCTTTTGTTGTTTTTGCAATCTTACCCATATAAATTGACTAAACCGAAAAATAAAAATTCAAGTATTTTAAGTTAAAAATATAGTAAATCTACCTAACATAATATATAGTATATTTAATATTATGTGTTTTTATTTTAAACTGTCATCATTGATTAGTAGATAAAATTATGATAACACAAATAGCATGCACATATTATTATATTTTTAATATTTGAATCTTAGTTCTTCCGTAGTTGTTCAAGTTATATTTATATTATCATCATCAAATAATTTCCATCATCGACTATTAGTTTAATTTTCTAACTGAAGAAAATGGATTAGTTTAAAACTTTAATAATAGACTAATATATATTGATATATTTTATAAAGATTCACGTCTAACTATATCACCATGAACTATCTCATAAGACTCACACCATACGATATTCTTTGTACAATGCTAAAATTATCTTAAAAACATTGTATCCAATAAAATGATAAGTTGACTTCTCTAGAACTCAAAATATGGACTTGATAATGTAAAAACATTAATCCTTAATCAAACCTGGACGAGTGGGCTTCTATAAGAAAATAGTTAATTACTGGAAAATAATAAGATATTTTTTACAACTCTCTTTTGTTTGGAATTTTATGAAGAACTTTTTTTTTATTCATTTTTATTTAATATTTTTATCAAATAATCTGTTGTATTTTTAGGGGTTTATAACTCATTTTTGAAGATTATTAAACTACCATTTTCTTTTATAATTCTATTTGTTCATGACTTTGAAAAAGTAAAATTGGATTTTCTTGAAAAACTATTTTCATATGGCTTTTTCAATTTTCTTTGTTTAGGATTTTAAAAAGAAAATTAGTATCAAATGTTTTTATTAATTATTACATATTTTTGATAATTTTAAATATTTATGGACATGTGTCATGATCATGTTAATTAGGAACTTAAAAATCAAGCTTTATTTTTATAAGATAAATATGTTTTTTTGATACATTTTAAATTAGTAAATATTTAATTATATATATATTTAAATATGATAATGATAATTATAATAAAATCTATTTTATAACATTATAACTCTATTTTTCTTTAGAATTTTGAAAAAGGAAAATTTCTAAAATAATTACTACTAAATATTTTTAAAATTCGTTTTATTATCTTATTATATATATATATATTTATCATTAAATATTTAAACACATGTCACAATATTATAAGGAAAATTACTATCAAATCATCTTTTGTAGTTATATTTTGATTATGATTTTAAAAATGGAAAATTACTATTAAGTAATATTTAATTTTTAATAAAAATGGTTTTCTTAATATCTTAGTATGTATAGTTTTAATTATGAGATGGATTTAACACATGTCAAAATCTTAAATATCTAATTGTCATGTGTCGCAATCATGTTAATTAGTAACTTTGAAAAACCAAACTTTATATAATAAGATAGAAATATATCTTGGATTCTTAATTTTTTTTTATGTGTGAAGAATTCAAAAACTTTCTGAGATTTTTTGTTGTTGAACATATCTCTTAATAAATAAAATTTGTAGAAATTAAAGACTAGCTACTTTTGACAAATAATCATATAAATACAGCACTTCTGACTTCTTTTTTCCCACAGCAAAATTGACAAAAAGAAAGTAATGAATATCAAAAAAACTTTTGTGATGTTTTTTCTTGTAGTGGTACTAGCAATATCGACGTTGTCCAACTCCAACGTTTTAGCCTCACCGGGTATGTTGTTATTGTTCATGTTCATTTTTTCTTTGATCACTTTGAGAATTTTTTTCCGAATGTTTCGTTTCTGAAATTTAAAATTTGTTAAACTGATGTTATGTATATGTTTATATATAATTATTTTTCTTTAACTTGGTTTTATTTGTGCAGTTATCAGTTACATGGATGGATATAATTATTGCATAAGATTTTGTACAAAAGAATTTTTCGAAGTTGAATGCCAAGCTGAGTGCAGAAAAAGGAATTACTCTTTAGGGTGGTGTCTTGGTGCTGCACCTCATTTTCAATGTTGTTGCAAAAAATGATAGAAACTGATCATCTTTCTAAACAATTGGTGATTTTAGGGTTGAGTAATGTTATTCTATAATATAAAAATATTTTATATGATCTTGAGTAATTTTCCCTTATTGTGTTTCTATCATCATTCTTAGTTTTTATTCGGTTTACTTGAGTCTCATAATCGCATAAAATACTTCACAACACTAATAAATTCATAGAAAATATTAAAAAAAGATATACAAATGAGTTAAATCTCAATCTATACTATTAAATCAGAATGTATATTAGGATTCTACAAACCATACCACTCATATATTTATGCATTAATTAATTATTTTTGACAGAAATATAAGTCAATCTTATTGCAGCATTTAATACATTATACCATTTACATATATCTTACATGCTCTCAAGATTTTATTTAGTTTTACTTTTCATTTTCGTTATTAAAAAATAATAAAATCATACTAACGTTTTTAAGATATAGTTATATATTCAAACCAGATTTGATCAAAACCGAATTGCAAGTTTGGTATTACATGGGCTAACATGTTTTAAAAAAATTAAACATCTAGCTGTATGTTCAAACCTTTTACATTTACTTATAATACTCACATTTTCTTTAAAAAAAATAACTTATAATTAAATAATTATATCAATAGATAAATAACCTAATAGATAAATTACTTCATAAATTATAATTAATATAAAATTGTATCTTTACTAATAAAGTTGAGTTTTTTTCTCTCCTTGGGGGGAAAATGCCATGTGTCACTTTAATTTAATGATTTTTATTTTTATTATATTTAACATATTTTGGTTATTTAATGAACCAATAAATTCTAATGAAAATTTAAAACATTAATTAAAAATAAAATTGTTTATTTCATTTGTATTATTTTAGTTTTCTATTTTAAAGAAAATTTATAAATAATTTTAATATATATATAGTTATTTATGAATATATGGTATCAAGTTAATGTGAATTTGTTTTCAATGTACTTATATTTAGTTTACTCTTTATTAATGTTATATATACATTCTTATATAGTAAAATAGATTATTTTTTTCTCCATAGAGACGAAAAATGTCATGTGTCATTTTCATTTAATGATTTTTTTTTATATTTAACATATTTTAGTTTATCTAATGAACCAATAAATGCTAAGGAAAATTTAAACATTAATTAAAAATAAAGATTTTATTTCATTAGTATTGTTTTAGTTTTCTATTTTAAAGAAAATTTACAAATAAATTTAATATATATTTTTTTTTTATGAACATATATGATATATAAGTTAATGTGAATTTGTTTTCAATGTATTTATATTTACTTTATTTTTATTAATGTATGGTATCAAGTTAATGTGAATTTGTTTTCAATGTACTTATATTTAGTTTATTCTTTATTAATGTTATATATACATTCTTATATAGTAAAATAGATTTTTTTTTCTCCATAGAGACGAAAAAATGTCATGTGTCATGTTTTCAATGTATTTATATTTAGTTTATTCTTTGTTAATATCACATACTTGTTTAATTCATTAATATGGTTTGTTAATTTATTAAATATAATTATAAATAAATGACAGTGGCAAATCTCATAATATCTAATGAAAACTATAGACATAATTCTAATAGAAATTCTGATTTAATAGTATGAATAATAATTTATTAAAATAACAATATTTAAAGTTAAAATCCCCAATTTTAACATTTGACTGTTTTTTTTTGGTCAAAAACATTTTACTGTTAAGATCGCTGTCATACCTTATTAAATTTTCAATAGTTGTAACTTAAAACCAACTAGCTATAATTAGATTGACGTAAGTCTATTGTATATTAGAGGGTGTTATTGGTTTGTATATTTTAGTGGATTTGAAAATACAAATCAAATATAATGTTATTGGTTCTATGATTTTAAAATCCCTATTCAAATTCATTATTATTGGTTCTATGATTTTAAAATCTATATTCAAATTCATTGTTATTGATTCTATGATTTTAAAATAGATTTTAAAATCAGGCGTTATTCAATAATAATGATTTGCTTGAGGATTTGATTTTAAAATAGATTTGAGTGGATTTGTGAGTTACAAATACAAAGAAGCAAATACTGAGTTGAATCTTGTTATTTTGATAGTGTATTATTGATTTTCTTAATAATTGTTTTCTTGCCCCAAGTTTTACGTACATATTATCCATGTTTCTCTTATAATAAGCAAATACTAATATATTAACCAACAATCTCTAACTTAGTTTTACGTACACGTAGACGTTAATATAAAAATTTACCAAAGATCTATCATAAGAGTTTTGGTCTACAGATGTTTTCTGGAGATTCTATTCCATAAATGACAAAGAGTTGTTTACCATCATCATGTTTTTCTGAGAAATGTTAAGAATTTTTAATATATTCAAATCTCGATTTTTAATTTTTAATGTGCATCCCCTTTTGCTTATAAGACACAAACGGAGAGAATATTTGTGTGTTAGTTTACGTGTAGTCTTTTTAAAAAGTTCTGACGAATCGATAACTTTTCTGAATAAAAAAGTTTTGATGAAGAAGAAGATCTTGAGAAAGTTACTAGAACTGAAAATCAACAAACAGAATATGCCAATAAAGTGAGAACGGCAATAATAACAAGTATGTGAGAGATTTTATGTTATCATAATAACATAAGACATAGCAAATGATAAACCATATGTTGTAGTTTTATATATATTTTCTTTTGTTACAAAGCTGCGTTTATCACAAATCCATTTCGTTGATTACTAATAATTCAATTATATTGATTTTGAAATCTATTTCATTGATTTTGAAATCTACGTATTTGATTCTAAAATGTGTGGATTTGTCAAAAATTTCAAAATCAAAAAAGGATTTCTAAATCTATAAAATCCTATAAAATGTGTGGATTTTTTTGTGGATTTTCTCTCCAACAGAGAAATCTATATAATATTTTTTTTGTCTGAACACATGACAAATCTATACAAATTATTTAAAGAATGTCAGATTAACTGTGTATAATTTTTTAGAAATTGATTTGGTGCTAGGTTCTAGTCTGACTACCCAACCTTGTATCCCGAACACTCAAATTTTATTTATTTATTTATTTGTTGGCACAAACAGTTCAAAACTTTGTAACGTATGTATCATTTCCCTTTTCCTAGTTTTCCTTTTAAAAGCTGTATTTTCTCTTTTGTAAAATTTTAAGAAGAATCCCTTCTCCATTGCCTTGCCAAGACTAAAACAAAAAAAAAACGGCAAAATGACAACAACAACAACAACAAGTTCAAGTCTTTTGGCGTTGCCAAGTTTCAGATCGAATTGTAAGCAGCAGAGACCCAATTTCAAGGTAAGAGCTCAAGTTTCGGGTGAGAAGGCAACGTCTGTGGAGCCAGTGAACGGTTCTGTCTCTGTGTCCAATCTCCAAGACCCAAAAGTGAATGGTAAAGTAAAGTTTCAAAGGAGAGAAGAAATTGAGCTGTTATGGGATGATGGGTATGGCTCCAAATCTGTCAAGGATTACTTTGCGGCTGCTAGAGAGATTTTGAAGAAGCCTGACGGTGGTCCTCCACGGTGGTTTAGTCCCGTTGATTGTGGCCAACCAATCAAAGATGCTCCTACTTTACTCTTCTTACCTGGTAACAAAAAATATATATTAAAGTTTGGGTTTTTAACTTAATTGCAGAAACTGCTTTACTCTGTTTTGTTAAGTTCTTTAGAAGAATTGAGTTTTTACTCCTTAGTAATGGTTTTTTTTTTACTGTTTTTATCTCAAAGTTTTAAGCTTTTTCAATAATTAATGACTAGTGTTAATATTCTTACAATGTTTAAATGGGAGTCACTAAAGGTGTTATAGAACTTGATTGTTGAGGCTGTTTTGTTAGCAATGGGTTTTTACTGTTCTTTATCTGATACTTACAAAATCTAGTTTAAGTTCAAAGCTTTCTATGATTTCGTTATTTTGGTAATGCAGGGATGGATGGCACTGGGATGGGTATTGTTCCACATCAAATAGCTCTTGGGAGGTATGTTCACTCCTTTGTTAATTATGTCTTCCCTGAAACGACAACATTCGACTAAGAAATGTAAAAATGGAGACATACACTTTTGAGCTCAAAGTTGTAGAAGCAATAGTATCTAATGCATGAGAACTAATCCAAACAAATCTTAATATGGGTCTGATATGCAACGTATTTACAAGCTTACACTTTTTTATCTTTTCTGTTATACACAAGTGTAGACTGTTTTTAATGAATTTCCTCGGTACAGGGCTTTTCATGTCTGGTGCCTGCATATACCAGTACATGATCGAACTTCATTCCAAGGTAATCTATTATTAGAGACAACACACATTTTGCTATCATGATTGTTATAATACTTGTCCCTTAAGGTCGTACAACATAATATCTGATCTTCCCTGGCTTCTATTCCCTCTTTAATATGTATACAAAGGCAATTTTTAGAAATAGAACAATGCTTAGAAGAACTTGCACTCAGCTTTTAGTCTTTAACGTCGAAAAGAAGATTGTAATAATGCGAGAAAAACTTATTTGGCTGTCAGCATATATATACATTCACTATGCTACGTATTTAAATGATGTCAAAATGGATAAAATCAGTTGACTTGTTCATGTTAATCACTCAATTTTCTCTGAGCATTCTCTACTGTTGATTTTCCATAAAGGGCTGGTGAAAATAGTCGAAGATGTATTGAAGCAAGAGCATGCTACAGATCCTAATAAACCGATATATCTCGTGGGTGATTCCTTTGGAGGATCTCTGGCTCTAGCTGTTGCTGCCAGAAACCCTTCATTAGATTTGGTGTTGATACTAGTCAACCCAGGTCAGTAAATACTTTTTGATATATCTAAATGCATACATACACATTTTTTTGAGTGACCAAATCCATTTTCCTTTGCTTTTAGCTACATCATTTGAGAGGTCACCGCTACAGCCTTTGCTGCCTATATTAGAGATGGTGCCAGAAGAGCTTCATTTTACTATTCCATATGCTCTAAGCTTTATTATGGGTACATGAATTGTAACAAATAAGATCTTTATTTTCTTCTTAAAATAATCTTTACTCAGATTTTTTTTTTGATAATTAGGTGATCCGTTAAAGATGGCTTCAATTGGTATAGACAACCAACTTCCAGCAGGAACAAAGTTGAAAATGTTGAGAGAGAAGCTTACTAACTCCATGCTTCCTCTTCTCTCTGTGAGTGTCTTTCTAACGCATTTTATTTGGTTCTGTTTCTACACAAACATGACATCTTTTTTTTTTTAGGAGCTCGGTGGAATCATTCCAAGAGAAACTTTACTTTGGAAGCTCAAGTTGCTGAGATCTGGTGCTGCTTACGCGAATTCTCGCATCCATGCTGTTCAAGCCGAAGTCTTGCTCCTTGCTAGGTTTATCTTCTTGCTGCATTTCTTGTCTCCTACTTGTTCAGTTAAAAGAAATACCATCAAAATGTTTTAGAAATAACTTTGTTTTTTTTCTTCTTACAGTGGAAACGACAGGATGCTTCCTAGCCAAGAAGAATCGAAAAGGCTTTATGGGTTACTAAAAAACTGTACTGTTCGATGCTTCAAGGAAAACGGGCATACCCTTTTACTGGTAAGCTAAAAATAGTATTTCATCATCAGAGTAACTAACACAGGAATGTTACTGTTATTCATTCACTTACTATAATTGTTTCAGGAAGATAGCATCAGTTTGCTCACGGTTATAAAAGGTACATGCAAGTACAGGCGCTCACGGAGATATGATTTTGCTTCTGATTTCTTGCCTCCAAGTCAGGGAGAACTTGATTTTGCCCTTCAGGATCTACTCAGGTAACTTGGTTACAAACTAAGATTCATGTGATGTAGTATCTGTTCTGACTATTTTGTTTCCCTCAGGTTCTTAAGAAATGCTGTTAGTTCTGTGTTTCTGTCAACAATGGAAGATGGTAGGATAGTGAAGGGACTTGCTGGTGTTCCAGATGAAGGACCAGTGTTACTCGTTGGTTACCACATGCTGATGGGGTTGGAACTTGGTCCAATGTCCGAGGCATTCATCAAAGAGAAAAACATTCTCTTCCGTGGAATGGCACATCCCATTCTGTATTCAGAAAATGGTTCAGGGAAGGAGTTTGATTACATGGACTGGATTAAAGTATTTGGTGCCTACCCTGTCACCGCAACCAATCTTTTCAAGCTCTTGTCTTCTAAGTCTCATGTTCTTCTCTATCCGGGCGGTGCACGAGAAGCTCTCCATAACCGGGTTAGCCATCTTCATACCCTTTTTCTGTGTTTAATATGATGAAACTTCCATACAGTTTTTAAGAATCTATTTATTATTTGGCTTTAATTGTTTTACAGGGTGAACAATACAAACTGATTTGGCCAGACCAGCAAGAGTTTGTAAGAATGGCAGCGAGGTTTGGCGCAACTATAGTGCCATTTGGAACGGTTGGTGAAGACGACATAGCTGAAGTAAGCTCTGCCTTTTTAACGTAACAGTTTGTTGAAAACGAGGCATATCTAATATTTTTATTTGTGTTTTGCCTTTGCAGTTGGTTCTTGATTACAATGACCTGATGAAGATTCCGATTCTCAGTAACTATGTCTCTCAAGTAACTCGTGATACCAAAGAATTCAAGTTGAGGTAAGAAATTGCTTTTAGTTTTTAACTGAACAAACGCAATGGAGTGTCCAAAAGCTGATTAGTGTTGTGATAATAATATGTATAAATATAGGGAAGAATCAAGTGGGGAGGTGGCAAACCAGCAACTCTACTTGCCAGGGCTCTTACCGAAGATCCCTGGTCGGTTCTATTACCTGTTTGGGAAACCGATACACACTAAAGGAAGACCAGAGCTTGTGAAAGACAAAGAAGCAGCGAAACAGGTTTACTTGGAAGCGAAAGAGGAAGTGGAGAAATGCATAGCCTATTTGTTGAAGAAACGTGAGGATGATCCATACAGAAGTGTTGTCGACAGATTAAGTTACAGTTTGACACACCTTCCTGAGAATGATGTTCCTTCTTTCGAGCCATGATTGGAACAGAAGCGGTAAGTTTAGTAAATCTCATAAACAGAACAGCTGTGATGTCAGTGATTATGTGTCTTTACAGAAAAATTCAGTATATATTCCAAATTTTATATAAATGAAATTGTTTAAAGCACATGAGAAGTCTATATGTTATTGCAGTTTATGATGTTCAGGGCTATTAAATCTCATTTTTGGTTACATGCAGCAAGTTAGTAGTATCTACATTAAATATAGGATCATCTTCATTACTTGATTTCTGATCTCCAATCTTTAGGACTTCAAATCTATTCAGTCAGAATTTTAATTAGACCAATTCAAGATACATTAAAGTGGTGCAATTTATACATAATCATTCAGCACTTCAAATCCAAGTATTAGGACTTCAATAGCTATACAAATTTTACCAATTTATAATCTTTCTTTTTTAAGATTGTTTATTTTAAAACGTGGTAGATCAGACAGTTTAAAATAAACAATCTTAAAAAAAAAGATTATAAATTGGTAATGATGATATCGAGATAGTAATTTCGAATGAAAAATCTCCAAAAGATAACTTAAACATGTCACATTGAAAAAAATCTCAACTATGTCATGTCTTGAATAAAATGGAACCCAAAAAAATTGATATCAATGATAATTTTGCCAGTAAAAGTTGATGTTAGTGATGAGGATCATGAACCAATTACTAAAGAGTGTTACACATAAAAGTGATTGACCAAAATCAGCTTCTTACGCATTTTAAATTTCTAGGTAGAAAATGGACATCAGGGAGAGGGTGACATGAAGATTTTGGTCATATTCATTATTGAATGTCGTACATATATATATTTTTTCTCCAAATTTTTCCTTTGCTCTTAAACCGGTCCCGTAAACAAATGTTACGTTGACTTTTTTTCCCATCAAATACATATGACCTAGTTACATTAACCAATTAATTGTAGTATAAATATGAAGTTAGCTACAAAATAAAAAATGAGACGTAATTTGATACAAAATAAGAATGCTGAAGTCAGTGAAATGGAAGAGACGGCAGGAGGAGAGAGAGAGAGAGAGAGTGTGTGTGGGCTTGTTTATGTAAGACTCGAATGTAATGAAAGTGATAATGTAAGACTCGAATGTAATGAGACAAGACAAAACACATTCCACCAAAATTCTTTTTTACCCATGATTTGTAGAAGAATGTAATGTTGTGTTTTACGGGTTAGTTCAAGTGATAATTTGGCTGATTATTCACTAAGGCTTGCTATTTTTAAAAGGTTAGTTCATCTTATTGGATTACGCCGTATTAAATATCTTAGACGTCTGTACACATGAAATGAAGTATTTGTTAGTTGCACTTTTTTTTTCTTAACTATGGGTTTTCCTATTAGATTTTTTTGGTACGAATTTTAATGAGGAAGCTTCTTATGCGTTTTAATTTTTTTGGTATAATAGATATCAAGTAGAGTAGAAATGTTATGAATATTGTGGTAATATCCATTATTGAAAGTTCTAAATATATTTTTTTTTGTTACAAATTTCATTAATTCAGATCTAAAAAGTCTCAAAGATTACGACAGAAACCAAGCGAAGATGGCCTATTGGTCTTGAGAGAGCTTCGACCCCAATATGGATCCGGGTTCGAATACCACTGGCTACTGGGGGTAAAATTTAAAATTTGGGTTCCCCCAGCATCGAGGCGTATTCCGGCCAATAACGTAGGCTTAACCGTTAGTCTGGATCCACCTTGGTGGATGCCAGGATACACCGGGTTATTCAAAAAAAAAAATTACAACAGGATTAAAAAGTTTCAAAAAAGTTCTAAATATATTTATCCTCCAAAGTTTTTATTCGCAAGATAAAGTTCTCTTACTCGTCCCCTTTGCTCTTAAACCTGGTACCCCATAAACAAATGTTACATTGACTTTTGTTCATCAAATACATATGACCTAGTTACATTAACCAATTAATTGTAGTATAAATATGCAGTTAGCTACAAAATTAAAATGAGACATGATTTGATACAAAATAAGAATGCTGAAGTCAGTGAAACGGAAGAGACGCCAGGAGGAGAGAGAGAGTGTGTGTGGGCTTGTTTATGTAAGACTCGAATAAGGGCCACGAATTGGCCGAAATCATAGGGCAGAAGAATGATGGCACTCTCTGAATTATTCAACCTTAATTATGGCACTTCTCTCTTCCGTTTTTTCCTCTTTCAATCTGATTCCACTTCATCAGGCCATCTCAAGGAGTTCCATTTCATCTTTTAATTTGTTTCCCTCGTTGGAGCCCAATTCTTATGGAAACTATGAGGAGTTTTGTTTCGATTTTTGTCACACAGAGTGGTGCTCATTAGTAATTCTTGGGTACGCTGAAAATCTCCATGTGTTGTTTGCCTAGGTATTCACAAATTTCATAGGTTCCTTGTGTCACAAGTCACTTTCTTGATCTACTACTTCTGATACTTTCTCCCCATGGATAGAGTTTTGTTTACTGAGGAATTAATTAGCTGCTGAGATTTGGATTTGAAGCCTCCAAATGGTATGTTATTTCTTGTATTTTTTTCTTTATTTTTCTGCTAGCATTATAAGTCAATTTCCTTAATAATCGTTTACTCAATCTGTAATATAATCAGAAGAAACCAATCATACATTATTAGAAACTGAGACTAAAGACCAATGAGATGAGAAACCAAAACAAGACATGATTTATACTACATTGTTAGCAATCTCACAGTATTAGTATTTGCAATGCCTATATAGCACTTGGCAGCACTCATGCTATTCACAATGAGTTTGTGCTATAACCATGTTCCTTGTTAAAATAACAGGATGATATTTGTTACTGATGTCATCAATTGCCTTTCAAAAACTGTTGTCCTTCTCCATAAACTGCAGGGAACTCCGGTTAACATCATTGTAGGCTCTCATGTCTGGATTGAAGAAACAGATGTGGCTTGGATTGATGGGCAAGTTGAAAAAATCAATGGACAAGAAGTTGAGGTCCAGGCCACAAATGGAAAAAAGGCTAGTAGTATATATACTCAATCATACTTTAGTCAAAACATATTCGAGTTTCCAACACCAAAGTTGATTTTTTCCTAACTTTTTTTTTTTAATATGTATAGATCACTGCAAAGTTGTCAAAAATATACCCAAAAGATATGGAAGCACCTGCAGGTGGTGTTGATGACATGACAAAGCTATCTTACTTACATGAGCCTGGTGTTCTTCAGAACTTAAAGATCAGATATGAACTTAATGAGATTTATGTTAGTACCCTAAATTCTATTTTTCCATTTTTTTTTGTAAGACTATTTTCTTATTAACTGTAAAGCTTGTTTTTCATGACAGACATATACTGGAAACATCCTTATAGCAATTAATCCATTTCAAAGACTGCCACACATATATGATGCACATATGATGCAACAATACAAAGGAGCACCATTTGGAGAACTAAGTCCTCATGTTTTTGCAGTTGCTGATGTTGCATACAGGTGCTATTTCTTTTTAATATACTTTTGAATCTATGTTTTTTTTACTAAGACGTTATTTATGTGGATTCAGGGCTATGATTAATGAGGGAAAAAGCAATTCTATTCTTGTAAGTGGTGAGAGTGGAGCAGGAAAAACTGAAACTACAAAGATGCTTATGAGATACCTTGCTTATCTCGGAGGTCGTGCTGTTACAGAAGGCAGAACAGTTGAACAACAAGTTCTTGAAGTATATATATCATGTTCTTATCAATCTTACTTATAGATTTTTTATTATCGTTGAAGATATTCACTGTTACATTTTGTTTTCTTGCAGTCAAATCCTGTCCTTGAGGCCTTTGGTAACGCCAAAACTGTCAGGAATAACAATTCTAGGTGAAGCAAATTTAACATTAATTACTGTTAGAACTTGGAACTCAAGATGGTTATAAATGTTTTCTTCTTGTCATCACAGTCGGTTTGGTAAGTTTGTTGAAATCCAATTTGATAAGCAAGGAAGAATATCAGGAGCTGCTGTAAGAACATATCTTCTAGAGAGGTCTCGTGTCTGTCAGATATCTGATCCTGAGCGCAACTACCACTGCTTTTATCTTCTATGTGCTGCACCACAAGAGGTATCTTATTTAATTTTATTTTCTAATTTATCATTTAAAAACTCTAGGCTTTAACTTTATATTAACTAAGCAGGAAATAGAAAAGTACAAGTTGGGTCATCCAAAGACGTTTCACTATCTGAATCAGTCCAAATGTTTCGAACTCGTTGGTATAAGTGATGCTCATGATTATATTGCAACAAGAAGAGCAATGGATATCGTCGGGATAAGCGAAAAGGAACAGGTAGGGGTATACAGGCTTGCGTGTGTTGAAAATAACTCTTTTATGATGCAGTTTTAACTGTCTACTTCCAACAGGAAGCAATTTTCAGAGTGGTTGCTGCGATTCTTCACATCGGTAACATCGAATTTTCCAAGGGAAAGGAAGTGGATTCATCGGTTCCTAAGGATGATAAGGCCAAATTTCATCTTAACACAGTTGCAGAACTTCTCATGTAAGCTGAGAAGATTTGTGTGAGTGTGTGTCTGGTTTTAGTACAAGAACTAATTAGAATTTTATTTATTTATTTTGTTTTAGGTGTGATGTAAAGGATCTTGAAGATGCACTGTGTAAACGTGTTATGGTCACACCTGAGGAAGTTATCAAGAGAAGTTTAGATCCACAGAGTGCTGCAATCAGCAGAGATGGTCTAGCTAAGACCATTTATTCACGGTTGTTTGATTGGTTAGTGGCTGGCCTTTTTGTCATTACAACCAGTTGGTGATTTACAGATTTGATTCTAGATATCTCTTGTTATTTTCAGGTTGGTACAAAAGATCAACGTCTCAATTGGACAAGATGCAAATTCTAGATCACTCATTGGAGTCCTTGATATTTACGGATTCGAAAGCTTTAAAACAAATAGGTAAAATAAATGTCTGCGCCAACATTTTTGTGTGTGTGTTTCCTATGCTAATAACGATCGATTTGTTACAGTTTTGAACAGTTTTGTATTAATTTCACGAATGAGAAGTTGCAACAACATTTCAATCAGGTACTTTCTTGATTTGTTTGTAGTGGAAACAATTGTAATCAGGCCTCTCTAGTTAACGAGTTTCTTCTTGTTGTTCGCAGCACGTTTTCAAGATGGAACAGGAGGAATACACAAAAGAAGCAATAGATTGGAGCTACATTGAATTTGTGGACAATCAAGATGTTCTTGATCTAATTGAAAAGGTCACTATCATATTTTGGACTCTTAATGAGGATGCAAACAACTAATATGTTTTATTATTTCATCTCAGAAACCTGGTGGAATTGTGGCACTCCTTGATGAAGCTTGGTAATATTATTATTTTCAATCAACATGGAAAATATTGTGAATGCAATGTAGTTTTTATCAAAATGTGTTTCTTTTTTTTTTGGTTTCTTCAGTATGTTTCCGAAGTCAACCCATGAAACATTTGCGAACAAGCTTTATCAGACTTTTAAGACCAACAAGAGGTTCATCAAGCCAAAACTATCTCGAACAGATTTCACCGTTTCCCATTATGCTGGAGAAGTATGTTACTCTTTAACATTTGTACAACACAAGAAGGCTTGCTGTCTTCTAAGTTTCTTATTAGTATTTTCTCTGCCCTTCAGGTCCAGTATCAGTCTGATCTATTTCTGGACAAAAACAAAGATTATGTGATCGCTGAACATCAAGATTTGTTGGGTGCTTCCAAGTGTCCTTTCGTTGTTGGACTCTTTCCTAAGCTCGAAGAAACTTCTAAATCTTCAAAGTTTTCATCCATTGGCTCTCGCGTTAAGGTAAAAAAACATTAAAATATTCTGTGAAAGTTTTCAAATAATATCACCAATTTTTTTTTCTTTGAAAAAATAAAGTGTGCTTTCCTGATTGATGCAGCTGCAACTCCAGCAACTGATGGAAACATTAAACTCTACTGAGCCTCACTACATCAGATGTGTGAAGCCTAATAACCTTCTCAAGCCTGCTATATTTGAGAATATCAACATTATGCAGCAACTTCGTTGTGGTGTAAGTATAGAATGCATAATAACTGTGACATTTTGAGTGTTACAAATGTTTTATCTATTGTTTGTTTCGTATTTTCTTGTAGGGTGTTTTGGAAGCGATCAGAATCAGTTGTGCAGGGTTTCCAACTCGTAAACCTTTCTTTGAGTTCATTAACCGTTTTGGACTTCTATCTCCTGAAGCTCTAGAAGGGAAGTAAGTAAAAAGATTTAACTGTAAACAGTTTATTTAATCTTGGAGTTCAAATTAAGTGTATACTTGGTCCCTAAACAGCTATGAAGAGAAGGCTGCATCGAAAAAGATTTTGGACAATATTGGACTCAAAGGATACCAGGTACCCGATTTTTTTCAGATTGTATATAATATGGTTCAAAACATTAGAAGAGTACAGCTCATATGGTTGGATAATGCAGATTGGTAAAACAAAGATATTTTTAAGGGCGGGACAGATGGCTGAACTTGACGCAAGAAGAGCTTTGGTTCTTAGTGGTGCTGCGAAAAAGATTCAGAGACGAGTAAGGACTCATCAAGCCCGAAGACGGTTCTTTTTACTAAGAGAAGCCACCATATCTCTCCAAGCTTTATGCAGAGGTAAGTAAACCCATATCTTATATTATGCCTAATTTTCTCTTTGTTATAATTCATTAGAAAGGAAATAGTTTCCTCATACTTCTTAATGAATGATGTTTTGCAAAAACAAATTATAGGAAGACTTTCTTCGAAACTTTACGACAACTTGAGAAGAAAAGCTGCTGCTGTGAAGATTCAGAAGAATGCTCGGAGATATCATTCTAGAAAATCATATAAAAATGTGCATGTAGCGGCACTTGCTGTACAAACAGGTTTAAGAGCAATGGCTGCTCATAAAGAATTCAGATTCAAGAAGCAAACAAAGGCTGCTACAACTATTCAGGTTTGTAAAGTTAAAAGAATTATACATTTTATCTTATCTTAAGTGTCTAGTTAGCTTTGTTTTTTCTTACATTTATTGGTGTTTATTAATTTTGCAGGCTCAGTGGCGTTGTCATAGGGCAACATCTTACTACAAGAAGCTTAAGAAAGGAGTGATCCTTTCGCAGTCACGATGGAGAGGAAGGCTTGCAAAGAAAGAACTTCGGAAACTCAAAATGGTATATGAGTCTACTTTCTTTCATGTCTTTGGCTATAGATAAGATGCCTTTTATTTTTTTAACCGAGGTATCCTAGACCCATAGAAAGACTCAGGCTAATCTCTAAGGGAGTGCAGCCTACGGATGGATGCTCTCTCCGGGTATTCAAATATAAGATGCTTTTTTATGATGTATTTTTTGTTGTCTTCAGGCTTCAAGGGAAACAGGTGCATTGAAAGAGGCAAAGGATATACTTGAAAAGAAAGTGGAAGAACTCACATACCGTGTGCAGTTGGAGAAACGTTTAAGGGTAAATATTTAAAGAGTTTTTAGTAGGATGATGGTACTGAAGAGAAGATATAATGGGAATTTTGTAAAATTGTTTTTTTCTTCAGACCGACCTGGAAGAAGAAAAGAGTCAAGAGATAACGAAACTACAGAGTTCAATGGAGGAAATGAAGAAGAAAGTTGAGGAAACAAATGTGTTGCTTGTTAAAGAACGTGAAGCTGCAAAGAAAGCCATCGAAGAAGCGCCTCCTGTTGTAACAGAAACTCAAGTAGTTGTTGAAGATACACAAAAGATTGAGTCATTAACAGAACAAGTGGAAGGTCTAAAGGTATATATACTAATGCCTCCTTATTTAAAAAATTCCATCCTCACAGGGATAGATAGTGAACTGTTTTGTGTTTCCAACAGACTGATCTTGAACAAGAGAAACAAAGGGCTGATGATGCAGCAAGGAAGTTTGATGAAGCTCAAGAGTCTAGTGAAGAGAGGAAGACTAAGTTGGAAGAAACAGAGAAAAAAGTTCAGCTTCTACAAGAAAACGTCACAAGGTAAAGACGGTTATCCCTTATATTATTAAGGTCCCATATATTCTTATTAACTTGTAATAAAAAAAAAATATGATCAGGCTGGAGGAAAAATGCAACAATTTGGAATCAGAGAATAAAGTGTTGAGACAACAAGCCGTGTCCATTGCACCTAATAAGCTTCTCTCTGGCCGGTCTAGGTCTATTTTACAGGTAAAGCTACTAAACTATATGACTCCATTATTATTATTCTTTTTTTTTGTCTTATGTTAATGGCTTCTCAACTTTTCATCAAAATAAAACACAGAGAGGTTCAGCCAGTGGTCATTTATCAGTGGATGCAAGGCCAAGTTTGGTAAGTACATCTCTTAAAGTAAAACTCCCTCTGTTCCAGAATGTATGATACTTTAACATATGCACAATTATTAGGAAATTTATTCTTTTCTAAAAATATATCAAAAATATAAATAAAAATCATTCAACCAATTACAAAATATACTACAAATACTATTGGCTATAAGATTTTTAATAAAGTTAAAAAAATACCTAGAAAAAAATGAATACTATTGTTAACTTTGCCTTAACAAGTCCTTAATTCTTCAAGTTTGGTTGGATATAATTGGAAACAGGATCTTAGCCATTCAATAAACCATAGAGATATAGCTGAAGTGGAGGATAAGCCACAGAAGTCATTAAACGAGAAGCAACAAGAAAACCAAGAACTGCTTATCCGCTGCATCGTTCAACACTTGGGTTTCCAAGGGAACCGACCCATCACAGCATGTATCATTTACAAATGCTTATTGCAATGGCGATCATTTGAAGTTGAAAGAACCAGTGTCTTTGATCGTATTATTCAGACCATAGGACATGCTATTGAGGTACTTTTTTCTAACTACCTTACTATTTTTAATATGCAACAGTGATTTCGTTGGAATAAGGTTGCTATTTTCTATGTTTTCAGACGCAAGATAACAATGATATATTAGCATATTGGTTGTCCAATGCCTCAACGTTGCTATTACTCCTCCAACGCACGCTTAAAGCTAGCGGTGCAGCAGGGATGGCTCCACAACGTCGTCGCTCATCTTCTGCCACTCTCTTTGGGAGGATGACTCAGGTTTGTGTGTGTGTTGACTACTTAAACATTTAATTACTACTAACATATCACAAGTTTTTTTTAAAGTTTGTCAAAATGTTTAATCATATTCTATAGAGCTTCCGTGGCGCACCCCAAGGTGTGAATCTTAGCTTGATAAACGGTGGAGCTGATACATTAAGGCAAGTGGAGGCTAAATACCCGGCTCTACTCTTCAAGCAGCAGCTAACAGCTTATGTTGAAAAGATATATGGAATGATTCGTGATAACTTGAAGAAAGAGATTTCTCCTCTCCTTGGATTGTGCATTCAGGTATATGTATATAGACATTGTTACATGTATAAGAAGCAAAAACGCATTAAAGCTTTTTTTTTTATGTTTTGATTAGGCACCAAGAACATCAAGAGCGAGTTTAGTGAAAGGAGCCTCTCGTTCTGTTGGCAATTCTGAAGCTCAACAAGCATTGATCGCTCATTGGCAAGGAATAGTAAAGAGCCTTACTAACTTCCTCAATACTCTGAAATCAAACCATGTAAGTGTCTTAATTATTTTTGAGAGCTACCACTTTTTAAAAATTACCATTTTGGTTTATGATTTACGGATTATTGCTTAGGGTTTAATATCTAGGGACTGAGTTTATGAAAACATATATAAATGATTTAGAAGGGTTAGTTTAAACTTTTTATCACAAATTTAAAGTATTTACTAAAAAATGGTTCATTTAAAGGTAAATTTGAAAAGTGATACCAAACTTGTGATAAAATTGAAATTCTCTCATTATTTTTTATATATAGGTTCCTCCGTTTTTGGTCCGGAAGGTGTTCACGCAGATATTCTCATTCATTAATGTTCAACTGTTCAACAGGTTCTTACCATCTTTAATTATTCTCATTACATTTTGTACTCAAAATTTTTGTATTAATAACGCATTTTGTTCTCATGACAGCCTTTTGTTAAGACGGGAATGTTGCTCATTTAGTAATGGGGAGTACGTAAAAGCAGGTTTGGCTGAATTAGAGCACTGGTGTTACAAAGCAACTGATGAGGTAACCATAACTGATATGATCATAGTTTCACTCTAATTAACTTCAAATACTTACCTAAGACAAAAAAAACACCACCATTGCAGTACGCAGGTTCTTCTTGGGATGAGCTTAAGCATATCAGACAGGCCATTGGGTTTCTGGTACCTTACATGATAAATGTTATAACCCTGAGACAAATCAAAACATTACTCACATTGTTGTATTAAAAAAAAATAATGCAGGTGATACACCAAAAACCTCAAAAAACATTGGATGAGATAAGTCATGATCTGTGCCCGGTACGTGGATTTTTGAATTTGTTTGATATTAAAAAGTAAAAAAAGTGCTGGACTAGTCTGCTCAAATCTGGTTGAAAATGCAGGTACTCAGTATACAGCAGCTATACCGAATAAGTACCATGTACTGGGACGATAAGTACGGGACTCATAGCGTATCGCCAGACGTAAGCTTTTGTATAATCTACTCTTATAATATATGATTCAGGATAACTAAGCTAGTAATTATTTTTTTGTGTATAAATATAGGTGATAGCAAATATGAGGGTGCTGATGACAGAAGATTCAAACAATGCTGTTAGCAACTCTTTTTTATTAGATGATGATTCCAGGTAACTCACTCTCTTGAACTCATTTATCCATTTGACTCCATTTCAATTTCTTTTTCTTATATATATTGTGTTTCTTGGCAGCATTCCGTTCTCGGTTGATGATTTGTCAAAATCAATGGAGAGGATTGAGATTGGAGATGTAGAACCACCACCTCTCATCCGAGAGAATTCTGGGTTTAGCTTTCTCTTGCCAGTTTCTAGCTAAATAAGGCTTGTTGGTTTCCTTGAGAGAGAGAGAGAGAGAAGGAGATAAATAAGATGAGACTGTATTCCATTTTCCTATATACGTAGGACCAACTACAAAGCTAGAATAGTCCAATAAGTTTTGCATCACCATTTCTTAATAATTTGTGATATTTCTTCTCTTTTTGTTTTGAAACTTTTGAATAGAGTTGTCAATGCCGCATACCTTGTTCTGAGGCATTCGAGCCCCGCTCTTAGGGTCCTTGCTATCATTTATATTGTAATGTTTTCTGATTGTAGAGTGTTCTGAAACAATTCTCTCTCTTATTGTAGCTAGAAGGTTTAAGTTATGAAATGAAAGTTGTGTTCCAAAAAAAAATATAAAGAATAGAGGTGCCAATGAGTTAACATTTGATGGTCCGTGGAATTGGGAATTTTTGATGCTGGTATAACCCAATGTTGAGCTATACCAGTCCGATCAGAAATCAGATTGGGAATTAAAAAGAAATTATTTGTTATTTTTTTCTTATTTTATAATTCACAGTGGCTATAAACTTGCTAAATAATTATATCTTTAATTATTTAGGGAAAGTGAGGAAAAAAAAATCGGAGTTGAAAAATATTCGAATATACTGCCAGAGGTAGTATTTCCAACTCACGTTTATATTTTTTTCTCTAAACTACTAAGGAAAATCATTTTCTAACATCTGTTTAATGGTCGTTTGATGTCAAAATAAACTAACAACTATTTATTATTCTAAGATAGTTTTTGCTGGTATATTCAGAAGAATACTATTTATTACTCTATAATAGAGTCAATTTTCACAACTGTTTTTTAATTTAAAATGTAGTTAATAGTTATATCTAAAACAAATAAGAAAAATATCTTCTATTTCAGAGTCAACACTTTTTATTTGAAAATGATCTTTAAAATAGAAGTAATTACAGTTTTTACTATTTATAAATTCTTTTTAAAAAAACATATTTTTTTTACATATCATAATTTTATCATATCGAATTAATAGAGAACTATATTAAAGAAACACACATATTTTAGAGGACAAACTAAACCAATATAGCACACCAAATACTTATTTTTTACAAAATTAAATATTCGGAGATTACCTTAACTGTTGAACAACCACTACTCCGCCTTATAAAGTCAACGTTGTATAGGTGTGGAAGGTAAGATGTTGGTATAAGTCATGCACGAAAACAAACTTGACAACACACAAAAGAAACTGAATATAAATTAGAGAATATACATACTGTTGGTGACCACGTAGTAGAGATCGTAATGGGAGATTTTCAACGGAGAGTTCATCCGGTGCTTCAGATGGAAGCCAACACTAAAAAAACATCACCAGATCTCGTAAAGACAGAACATCTTCCATCACAACAGCCTCCTGCTACGGTCGGCAACAAGAAAACATCACCAGCTGGCGAAAAGACACAACAGCTTCCAATACAACGACCACTTTCACCCCCTCCTTTGATGTTTCGTAATAAGAAGCGAAATCTTTGCTGCAGATTCTTCTGTTTGGGTTTAAGCCTTCTAACCTTTGCCTTAATCGCATTAGCGGTTGCAATTACGGTGATATATTTTGTTTTCCATCCTAAAATCCCACAGTACCAGGTCAACCGTTTACAAGTTAGCAACCTTGGTATCAACTTTGACCTCTCTCTTTCCGCCTTGTTCAGAGTCAAGATCACAGCTCGTAATCCCAACGAAAAAATTGGGATTTATTACGAGAAAGGAGGCCGTGTCCAAGTCTGGTATACCGAGACAATGCTCTGTGAAGGTCATATACCCAAGTTTTACCAGGGATATAGAAACGTAACTAGACTGCATGTGGATCTAACGGGAAGAGTACAGTTCGGGAACGCTGTTATGTCGGCATTGTTGCAGCAGCAAATGACAGGACGTGTCCCATTAGATCTCAAAGTGGATGCACCTGTTTCCCTCAAACTGGGGAAACTGAAGCTGAAGAAGATTCGAGTATTTGGGAGCTGCAAGCTTGTTGTTGATAGTTTATCAACAAATAAAGGAGTTAATATCAAAGCCAGTGATTGCAAGTTTAGGCTTAAATTTTAGGGTGTTGTTCCTTTCTTGGGTGTATCCATCATTTTCTAATGCATTGATTTTAAGTTTTCTGAGTTTCTTGTTTTAAGACAAACATCTCCATTTTTTCAGAAAAAAGAAAAAAATATCCATCTATGAAAACTTTCTCCAACAAAATAATGATATTTATAATTGGAAGATGTGATTGGAAAGTAGATACTCCTCTCGGAGTAAAATTCGGAGAGTGCGAACACATCACAACAATGATATTTGGGGATAGACAACGTACAGGAAATGATAAAACTAATATCTTTTGTAATACTTAAGAACATTGGCAATGAGAGTTCTTACGCTAGTGTTTAGAGAAAAAATAATTAAATAATCAGTGAATTCCATATAAAAAAATTAAGGATTCAATCTTGAAAACTTCTAAATAAGAACTTATTTTTTAGTGAATTCTTACACTATTTACGGATCTCCACGACACATGATAGTCCGCGATTGGTTGATATTTTTTTGATTTAAATAAAAACAAATAATTAAAAATCAAAAAATACTTTTTCTAAAGACTTCAATGAAGTATCACCATTGAAGATGCTCTAAGAATAGCTACATTTTATTGTAAACCTGTTATAATTCCCATGCATTTTGTTACTTTCTTATATTTATAAATTCAAATAATTATTTTATCATCGTTTAACCTTTATATACAATGAAATATCAAATATTATTTTTATTTTCTTCATACATATAAATATTATAACACATTCAACCGAGAGTTCAATTTTGATATAAAATACTAATTGGGTAATTCTTAAATAGCATTTTTAAATTTTTTTGTAACAAATAGAACTTTTAAAGAAGAAATTAACCAAAGAAGGTTTCATTAAAAAGGCAAAAGACTTTTGTACCTCTTAATTTATATAAAGAAAAAATAAAAAAATAACAAAAAATAAATAAAAAATAACTAAATAAATAAAATTTTGATTTTTTTATTTTTTTAATTTACCTTTTGAAATTCGAAAATGTTTTTAAAACTATTTTTCAAATTTATTTATTTTAAAATATTTCATACTTATTTTCTATTTTTGAATATTTTAAATATTAAACTCTCAAGACTCTACCTCTTAACTCTAAACAAAAGGTCTAGAATTAGTCAACTCTAGGAGTATAAGAGTATATTTTTCCTTCAATATAATCTATTTTGGTCATTTTCTATCTTGGATGTTATTTTTGTGTAAATAAATTAAAAAAACTATCTTAGGAAATTTCTCATACTAATTATTTATTTTGATTTAGGTACAAATTTCACTTACTCTCTTAGGTTAATTATAACATACACATGTATTTTTCATATTTTATTCTATCATATCACACATGCAATATTTTTATGTTCTGATTAATTATTTTTTATAATTTTAAATTGATTCATATATATACATCAATTAAAAACAATTCAAAAGATAAGATAATCTTTTCATTAGTTTCTTAAATGAATTATAAAATATCACATATTTTTTTCTCACATATACATGTATGCATTTTTAAAATTATCTTTTAAACAGAGATTTTATTGATATAATAACATATATAAAATTGACAATACTAGTTCTTTAGCTGAACAAAATGGTAAGAAAATATATTAGTTTCTTAAATGAATTGTAAAATATCAAATATTTTTTGTTCTCACATATATACATGTTTTAAAATAAACTTTTAAACAGAGATTTTATTGATATAATAACATATATAAAATTGACAATACTATTTCTTTAGTTGAACAAAATGGTAAGAAAATACCAAAACTTGAAAAATACAAAAATAAGAGTAAAACAAGAATAGTCTATTTAAGTTTTTATTTGTGATGAATTTTCATATAATTTAAAATTTCACTATTAAAATGATGATACTTATTGTTATTTGTGTCAATATGATATTTATTACTTATTTATAATAAAATATATTTTTTAGATATTTAATTTTAATTAGAAATATTTATCATTTCTTAAAATATAATAATTTATTAAATTAATTTGACCTGAATTTTTCTATTTTTTATGTTTCATTTGTACGATCTACATTTGTTTTATTTGACTATATTTATGTTTAATCTATTAGAACCGGTTCGCCCTACGGACGGGATGAGAATTAAAAAGAAAAATTAATTAAAGTAGTTAGAGTAAAATTTTAATATAAATTATTATTATATATATATTCTATATGTTATTTTATTTGAAGACTAAATAAACCATATTATTTGAAAATTAGTTATGATTTTTTAAAAATTATTGTACGTGTTATTTTTTAAGATATGATTTTCTTTTTTAATGTTATAGTTTAAGATGATTTTTTTGCTAAATAATCTATGTTTTAATTATATAAAAAGAACTGGATGTGGCACTGCCTCGTTTCTTGTGATTTTACAGCGTTATATGAAGAATTTTTTTCATGCTAAAAGGGTATATGTTTCTTTCCACCAGCGATATGATCATTCGTTATTTTTCTCTTTGTCGTGACATCCACCTTTCTTTTCAGAATACGTGCGGAATTCCTTCTGAGGTCATGGTCTCGACTTCGAGTGACTTTATTAATTTACCAAAAAATATAACAACGGGCAAGCAATAAAGTATTATTATTCAGTTTAGTGGGTCATACTAACAATGATAACAATGAGAGAAAAATAAAGCCTTACTAATTACAAAAACATCGTACATGGCCAGATTGTTTTATGAGATAATTTGCTAAAATATCCTATTTAGCACCTATAATTAGAGAATTGCTCATGATGTAACAATCACTTTACTTTAGACCATTTTGCCCTTTGCTACACACTATCTACTCTTTTTGACATCTCCTCTTTTTTTTTCTCTTCAATCCCTAATTATTTTACAAATCTCTATCATTCTATATACAATTAAATTTTAAATTTCATTATTTATTCATAAGTGGCTTTGAATCCTCAATTTTGACCTTTTTTTTTCTCTCCAATCCCTAATTATTTTACAAATCTCTATCATTCTATATACAATTAAATTTTAAATTTCATTATTTTTTTCATAAGTGGCTTTGAATCCTCAATTTTTTGATGATATCAATTTTCTGGGTTTTAGATTCGACGTCGTGTTAGCGGTTAACAAATATTGTAGAAGTTAACAGAAGTGTTAGGTGTTAACAATTATTTTTACGCTTCGCGCTAATAAATGTTTTCGCTATTAACAAATATTATAGACGTTAACAGAAGTGTTAACTGTTAACAATTATTTTTACGCTTCGCGGTAATAAATGTGTTGGCTGTTAACAAATATTGTAGACGTTAACAGAAGTGTTATATACTAACAAATGTTTTTACGCTTCGTGTTAATGAGAGGAAAGAGAAAGGGCATTCTCGGCATTTCCTTGCCAGATGGTTGTGTCAGTGTCCTTCATGTCCAATCAATGATATTTTACTAATTTGAGCTTCAAATATGGGTACTTCACTAAATCACTCTTGTTTTATTTTGCTGATGTAGACGCATATCATAAACTTAAATACAGATGTAAAATCGTAATTAAAATTAATCTATTCTTTTTTTTTGATCTATTGATAAATATTGTGTCCAACTACTTATTATATCTACTTTAAAAACCGATGTTTTATAATTGTATTCAGGAGCAGATCTAGAAACAATTGTTGTCCGGGCATAACTACAAAATCATGTTTAACACCTGTATAAATTTGAAGTATCAACTGAAACATTATAAAAAATCAGTACAAAAATACACAAATTTTAAAAATTCATGGTGGACAACTATCCCTCCTAGTCCTGCTGTACCACTGACTATTTATTTATATCAAAACTCTAACAATGTTAACATTTTCTTAACCAAAATAGTTACCATCTTCTCTTTCCAAGCGTTTTTTTTTAAATTTCATCAATGAATATGATGATGGATCAATGAACAAGCAAAATTTTAAAATTTAAAAACAAATTATAATCATTAACAAGTAAAAATTAAAAAGGAAATTATAATCATTAACAAGCAAAAAATTATGACCACGACAGTTAATTCCAGATCAATGAACATGATGATGATCAACCTAAACTGGAATGTAAAAAACATGACGAAGAATTTTTTTGAACATGTGGGTCAACAGGTCAAAATTAACAACTTTGGTATTACTGTCTTTACCACGGCAAATATTTGCAGAACATTAAACATAATGATGATCAACAAGAATACTTTCAAAGCGAAATTATAATAAAAGTTTCTATTACAGGTTCTTAAAATAAAACAACAAATATAACAGCCCTTAGAAATGGCAGATCAGAATCTAGGGCGGGTATATAATTATTATTAAATAATATAGAATAATGGCAACTAATTTAATGTTTGTTAATAGTTATTATCTATATTAATAATTTTATGTTAAACGGTAATTTCTCTAATAATAATAAGATTTAGTACTTTTAATATTTAATCATTTCAAGAATCACTAATTATTTATTTATAATTATTATTTATATTAATTTAATATTTATTAAATTAAATCAAAAATAAAATCAAGTTGAAATAACAAATGATTAAATCAACAAAACCATAATGCGGATCTGAATGATCTCAAATCCTTAACAAAATAGTTCCATTTTAAATTAAAAATAAATCATATAAACTAAATTTAATAAATTATAGAAAAGTTTTAAAACACACATGATATGTGTGAGAATTATTTGGAGTCTTTAAAAATTTGTCCTACTTAAAATAACAAAGATAAGTCATATAAATAAATTTAATATAAATTTCATAAAAACAAAATATATAATTTATAAAAAATCATAATTTTAATTATATAAAATATTTTTTTCAAAAAATAATTAACACTCCACATTTTAAATGCAGTCAAAATATACCCTCAAAATCTAGTCTATACTATTAAAAGTGAAGACACCCTTGAAAAATCGACTTATGGAAGTTGTGTGCACCCTTCATTAATGGCATTTTGGTAATTTATTTTCGTCTTACATTTATATATATATATCATTTTGTTACAAATAATATCATATATTGCATATACTCGAATTACCTTTTCC